AATGTGAGTGAACGAATGAATGGATGTGTGAGTTTGTGAGTGAATGGAAGAAAGAGATGGAGTAAGAGAGGGGCCAATGAGAGAGTAAAATTTGGCGAGTGATCGAAGTAGTGAGTGATTGTATGAATTTGAGTGAACGAATGAATGGATGTGTGTGTGTGTTTTTGTGAGTGAGTGGAAGAAAGAGATGGTGTAAGAGAGAAGCCAATGAGAGAGTAAAAGTTGGTGAGTGATCGAAATAGTGAGTGATTGCACGAATATGAGTGAACGAACGAATGTGTGTGTGAAAGTGAATGAGTGAATTCAATGAGAGATGTTTTGGAAGTTTATCGACCTGCACCTAGTTAAGTTTAAAGCCACCATCATGGCATGTTTATTAAAAAATTAAATTGTTTATTTTGATAAAAAAGCTCTGATGATGAAGGAATAAACCACCGAAAGCTCGGCACAGCCCTAGGGGTTGTTTGTGCTCTATATGATCTCTAAAGATAGAGCATAAAAAAGATTTTATCACACAAACTTAGAATGAGAGAAGCGCAAAAGCATAAAATTATTGGCGTAAAATCGCCTAAAATAATACAGTAGTCGTCAAAATGAAACGTGCAGATACTTTCCACTCAGACGTACTTCGTTGATTAAATCTAATTCCAATTCCAGTTCCATCCTGGTTTTGTAATTTAACCTTCTTCAGATGTGTCCAGGATGAAAGGAAACGTTGAACTTCATTGAACGTTGAACTTGAAGTACACCAGGCCGCAGACCGATAAAAAGTGTCTCGCAAAAGACTCAACGTCCAACGATTTTTTTCGAGGTTCGGTGTACTTTCTTGGTGGACTCCCATCAAAGATTGAATATCACTGTCCTACTATTAAATGTTTAAACTTGAATATTAATTTAATTTGCTCATTTATAATTTATAGTTTAAAGAAGTTAGTTTCATCATTGTGGGATGTTTTAATGAACCCGTGGCAATGGATTTATCTATGGGTGCATAAATTCTCACTGCGATATCCGAGTTCAGAAAATTGCTCTCATAAATTGACTTGTTTGCTCTCAATCAAACTCTTAACAAATGGCCGGCCATGTTGAAAAGACAAAATTTAAAGTGGCTTTTTTTTCTTTTTTTTCAATTTTTATAATTGATGCCTCTTCTTGACAATGAGCAATTTTGAGATCGACGTGTGAATCTTTTATTTTCTCATATGGCTTACCGATTAATAGCCGTTAAATTTACCCATACGAAAGGCTATTTAGGAAATCTGGCAAAGGATCAACCATTCTGAATGTGCGGAACAGTCGAATAGTTTGAAAACCTAAATTTAAAACTGTTTCTCTTATAAAAAAAATAATCACAATCATTCATAATAATTCAATTTTTCTCTTATTACAGTATTTTCGTTACCTTTCTAAAAAGATAATTTAATCGACATAACGGAAATTAATATTATAGGCTAAAGGGCCTTCCTATTTTTTTACATGTCTTCAGATGACTTATCGGAGAAAAACTTTAATTAATAAATAATGTAATATTGGCCGTTAGATTTGTTAATATTGAAAAAGTGATAAACATTTATTAATTTACCACTTTAAGCAGAAAAGTTTAAGATCAATGGCAAAAACTGAAAATGTGTTGTTGCTTAGAATTTCTTATTTATTTATGTATATTTTTTTGGAAATCTCGTTGAAAATCATTGTCTATGCAGAACTGAGTCATGTGCTATAAATACCGACTTGTTGTTCACAATTGTATTCTTAAATTACTCTTTGTCTTTATTTTCTTATTATTTATTTACTTTAAAAGGAGATTTTATTAAGAAAAGGTAATATATATTTTTATCCAAATTAGCCAAACTCGAACATATAGTGGAGTGAGTGAACATATAAATGATGGAGTGAGTATGGTGTTCAATACTTTTAAAAAGGATAGTTCCTACTCACAGTAAGTTGTTTTGCAACGATCCGGATTTCGAGCCTTTTAGCTCATCATCAGGTTGAAGGACTTCTACAACCACGTCTCTCGACATGAAGTGCCAAAGTGAACCGCTGATACCTCCAGACTAAAGAGAAAGTAGACAACTTGGCAAAAAGTGGGGTTTACCAACTCAATTGTACTGATTGTGATATTAAATATATAGGACAAAGCGGTAGAGAAATAAAAACAAGAGTAAAAGAACACTTGCCTAAATCGAGCAAATTTTCGGAATTTAAGGACCATCTAAAAGAAACAAAACATAATTTCAATTCAAATTTGAATACAAAAGTGTTACATAGTTTCAACAAAGGGAAAGAACTAGATTGGCTTGAGAAATTTGAAATTAAAAAATGTAAAATTGAACATGGTGATAAATGCATTAATAATATAACAGATTTTGATCTACATATGAACATGTTGTAGAAGTCCTTCAACCTGATGATGAGCTAAAAGGCTCGAAATCCGGATCGTTGCAAAACAACTTACTGTGAGTAGGAACTATCCTTTTAAAAAGTATTGAACTCGAACATATTTTATTTATTTCAAACTTGACAAATGGATGTGTTCATGTGTTGGAAGAAAATAGAGACAGGGGAATTTAAGCAGCAATACGATTTGAGTTTTATGTTTTTCGCTTGTTTTTCCTTCATTTACCAATTTATTACTCCCTTGCTCTAATTACATGTCAGATTTACATACCCTAACATTTTTAGCTTGGTCGTTTACGATCATCCTGAACCGTGTATCCTCGCTGTCCTCTTCGGTCTCTTTCGTTATGTTGCCCATATAGGCTCCAGCAGGCTGTCGACATGTATGTGTCCTCACTGAAGAAGGTCTGTAATCAAAATGAGAGAATTGAGAACGTTCCGTTCTGTCCAATTTGATTTTTGTATTCCGGATTTTGTAAATAAAGTTAAGTATGTCAATCTAATGTTCGTTTTCATAGTGATATCCCTCTCCATCACCTCATTTATGAAACCCTGTTGTAGCATATTTTTTTACGTTATATTATATTATTAATTAAGGTTTTTAGTTGAGATAAAAACCTTAATTAATTGGTCAAGCGGACCACGAAACTAGTGAATTTAATAAGTTATATTATATATTATATGTAACCTGTAACCATCTGTCGGTTGACTCTTGAAAGGGATGTTTCAACTTCTTTCAACTTTGGAAACGGGTACTTGGAGTTGGGCGAATTGTAAAAAGTATCTACAATTATAATAAAATACCAAGTTAAAATAGCGAGAATTATGACGAGTGGGAAAATTGGCTGTGTTAATTGCGTAGGGCCGAAGAGCGAGATGGTAAATCGAGCAGAAAAAGGCGTTATTGGCAGTTTCTGACTGTCTGTGTGATACGGTAGAGAGTTGTATACTCTGGAGGATCCTCAGACCTCCGACTTTCATAGATTGAAATGTATTAGGTTTTTCAATCATGCCATGATTCTGATGGGCGGTGGTCATGAACCAACTCTTGAAAATGGAGATGTCTTTTAGGCAGAGGCAAGTTTCAACATAAAAGTGGGTGTGATGGGAGCCAAGCAAATTGGAAAATAGTGACAATTGAACAGTGAAGATAAAAAGCACGAATTATCGCAAAAGAGCAAGTCAGTGAGTAAATCAGTCGTGTAATGATACAGACACCAGGGTGCGAGACAGTAAATGGAGAAGCACGAAGAATTATGGAGTCTGTAACATCTGTACGAAACGGCAGATAGTCTTCCAGCGAAGAAACTCATTTTCGGAGGTCAGGACTAAATTCAGGGCCGCTGAAGATCCGAACCCGCCCAGACCTTCCATTGAAGAGTGCCGTGTCAATTTTTATTGCGGCCGCTGATCCCCTTAGACGTCAGAAAAAAAGTCCGACGGTGGGAATCGAACCCACGACCGCGGGATCTACCAGCCGAGAGTCTGACGTATTAAGCGCTCGGCAAACGCGGCACCTCTGAACATCCTCAGAAGCCCCAGGTTTCATAGATTGATTGATATTAGATTTTTCAATATGCCAAGACCCTTATGGGTGGTGGTCATGAACGAACTCTTGACAAGGGAGATAGTCCTTAGAATGGTGTTACATAAGGTCATACAAGGTTCAAAATTAACGTAAGAGTCCAAGCTAAAAGTGTTAGATTTAGTGAGTAAGTCAGCCGTGTAATGACACCGGGGTACGAGAGGGTTAATGGAGGAGAAAGATCGTTTTGAGCAGTTTGTAAGTAAGATCAATACTGACTGTATGATAAGAAGCCATCCAGCTTCCACTGATTGTGACCGTTTCCTGTTGTCATAAAACAAGTTTTATTTGTTTTTTCCATCTTGCGACGATTTCGATGGGCCTTGGTCGTGAACTAACTCTTGGCAAGAGAGATGGTGTTTAGAACGGTGATACATAAGGTTATGTAAGGTCCAATATGTAAAGGTTCAAGCTAAAAGAGTAAGTATTAGAATTAGTGAGTAAATCAGCCGTCTAATGATGTAGACAGGAGGTAAATGGAGGAGAAAGGAGCGTTTTTGAGCAGTTTGTAAGTAAGGTCTATACGGTCTGTAAGAAAGTATGCCTTCGAGCTTCCACTGATTGTGACCGTTTCCTGTTGTCATAAAACAAGTTTTATTTGTTTTTTCCATCTTGCGACGATTTCGATGGGCCGTGGTCGTGAACCAACTCTTGACAATGTCCTTTGAGAGGGGTTTGAGCTTCCAAATTGGAACCCTGTGTTCCTGCACGTCATGTCGAATTGAATAAAGTGATCGGAAATGATCCACCTACAAAGTGAGATGTGTTCATCTTTCCTTCGACAGTGGAAATGGTAGAACGGACGAACTTGACCTCTTGGCTCTCGACAGGGGCCCGCATCCCTCGTCGGCCTTCTCCTCCTTTCCCGAGCCCAAGCGACAACTATAGAATTGTTGTCCGAGGGCGGGCGCGTAGATATTCTCGAGATGTGGCCGAGACGAGGGCTGCGGGGGTGGAATCCGATGTGGGGCGTGGTGGTGGGAAAGTGGGGCCGTGGATTCGGCGTGGTTATTGAGCGAAATCCGAGCGCAGGCCCGCTCCCAGTCCACACAGAGCCGGCTACGGCGGAACATGAGAGGAAAGCTCCGCGATATATTTTGCACCTTCTCAGCCGAGTCAAAGCCAACAGTTTTATCCAAGCTTGACCAAGGTTTGACAAATTACATCAACAATAATTCAAACAGGAAATAAAAGTGGAAAAACGGGAAATTCTCCGGTCTCCAACCCTCCCTTTCAGACTCTTCGATGTTCTAGCGGGTATGCCTTTTCTAAGGCAACTGTCATTCTCTATCGGTTCCTCCTATTAAAAACAATCAACTTCGCGTCTTGAATTGCCGTTTTTCATTAAAAATTGAATTAATCGATATTAATTTTATATTACGTCATATGGTGAGTCCTTTTAATTTCCCTCTTAACGATGTAAATATTTAATAGCTTTTTGTTTATTTTTCTTCCTTAACTCCTACCGACCGAACAGATTTATTTTCCTAATTTTTGTCGTTAAATTTTAATACACACTGCCGTTGGAAACCCGGTTAGTATTCTTTGTCTATCCCTATTAATTATAACTACATAATATATTATGTATTTAGATTTCCGATATCCGTTTTTGGAACGGAATTTTTGTGATTTATTTATTTGGATTGATTCGAGATATGACAACTGATTAATCGATTTTCTCATATAAAATTGATTTAAAAAAAAAAAATTGAATTTGTTTGTAATCTTCGATTTCGTTCATGCCTGTTACTCATTGACAATTCCGTTAGTTGTAGGAAACGCACTTTGGGACTTTAAAGCCATCCCAAAAGACGATAAATAAAACGAAGATCAAAAGAAAGAGTGAGGAGGAGATAGGAGAAAGCGAGTGAGAGAGAGTGAGGGTAGAGGAGTGAGAAAACAGAGTGAGGGAAATAGTGAGAGTGAGTGACTGGGGTAAAGAAAAAAGTGTTTGTACTGACAAAAAGAAAGTGTGAGGATGGGGAACAGAAAGAGGTAGAGAGAGAGAGAGAGAGTGAAAGATAAGAGAGAGAGAGAGAGAGTGATTGAGTGACATTGAAAGAGCAAGAGTGATAATGAAAGAGAGAGACAGGAAAGACAGGCAAAAAGAAAGAGAATAAAAGAGAGAGTAGATAGATAGCTGGAAAGATTGAAAGAGAGAGATTGAGTGACAGTGAAAGAGCGAGAGTGATATTAAAAGAGAGAGACAGACAGAGAGGGAAAGAGTAAGAGAGAGAGAGAGAGAGAGAGAGAGAGAGAGTCAGTGAAAGATTGAGTGGTATTAAAAGAGAGAGAGAGAGAGAGAAACAGTAAGAGAGAGAGAGAGAGGGAGGGAGGGAGGGAGAGAGAGAGTAAGTGAAAGAGCGAGAGTGGTATTAAAAGAGAGAGACAGGCAAAGAGAGAGAGAGATAGAGAGAGAGAAGAGAGAGATAGAGAGTAAGAGAGAGGCAGTGAGTAACAGCGAAAGTGCGAGAGTGGTATTAAAAGAGAGAGACAGACAGTAAGAGAGAGAGAGAGAGAGAGAGAGGAGATAGATAGAGAGAGATCGATTGTCAGTGAATGAAGGAGAGTGGTATTGAAAGAGAAAGACAGGCAGTGAGAGAGAGAGTGAGAGAGAAAGAGAGAGAGAGGGAGGGAGAGAGAGAGAGAGAGAGAGAGAGAGAGAGGGTAAGTGAAAGAGCGAGAGTGGTATTAAAAGAGAGAGACAGGCAATGAGAGAGAGAGATAGAGATAGAGAGAGAGAGGGAGAGAGAGAGGAGATAGATAGAGAGAGATCGATTGTCAGTGAATGAAGGAGAGTGGTATTAAAAGAGAAAGACAGGCAGTGAGAGAGAGAGTGAGAGAGAAAGAGAGAGAGAGGGAGGGGAGGGAGAGAGAGAGAGAGAGGGTAAGTGAAAGAGCGAGAGTGGTATTAAAAGAGAGACAGGCAAAGAGAGAGAGAGATAGATAGATAGAGAGAGAGATAGAGAGAGAGAGAGAGAGAGAGAGATTGCATGTCAATGAAAGAGCGAGAGTGGTATTTTTTTTTTTTTTTAATTGGCTTTATGATCTTTGCATATTAGCCATGACGAATCTCTTATATATGTTGTTCAAATTGGGGGTTATCGGGAAAAAAGGGCCAGAGGCGACGGTGGGAATCGAACCCACGACCGCGGCGTGAGAGTCTCTCATGCTAACCACTCGGCTACCGCGGTCCCCAAGAGTGGTATTAAAAGAGCGAGTCAGGTAGGGAGAGAAAGAGAGAGAGGAAATAGAGGGAGTGAGAGAGAGATTGAGTGTCAGTGAATGACCGATAGTCGTATTAAAAAAAGAGACAGGCAGAGAGAGAGAGAGAGAGAGAGAGAGAGAGAGAGAGAGAGAGAGAGAGTGAGAGAGAGAGAGATTGAAAGAGATGAGTGACAGCGAAAGAGCGAGAGTGCTATTAAAAGAGAGAGACAGACAGAGAGAGAGAGAGTGTGTGAGATAGGGAGGAGGGAGGGAGGGAGCGAGAAAGAGAGAAAAGGAGTGTGAGTCTGTGAGAGAGAAAAAACCAATCAGTAAACGTTTAACGTTGAACTTAAACTTCAAGGAAACTTCCCTTCATCTCATTGTATTTCATCTATTCAATTATATTTCATGTTTTAAACAAACTAACTAAAACAAACTACAAAACACTATTAAAAGTGCATAAATTAAATTTACCCTGATGTCAACCCAAAACATATTTGTATTAAATATCTATAAAATACTGTAATACTTTGAACATATTTTGAACTAAGTAAGACATGTAACAAACATATCCTAAAATTTTATAATTAGATCTTTGGAAAATGTCCCGTGGAAATAAAAAAACTTGATAAATGTTTAATATATTAATAAAATAAATTCAATTTTCTTAATTTTCTTGTTGTTTCAGCAGATCAGAACTCGCGATCTATTTTGTTCAAGCTTTTGTCCCGATGAAATCATTGTCTAGGTTATCATAACTATTTATGACTACAGCCCTTGTTATAAAGCCATTCTTGTTTACTATTCATTGATCAGTTTAAAAATGCCAAAAATATTCTTTCGCCTTCTTTTTGTGCCAGTTGAGATCGAATTCTGCACGTTTTTTTAGCCAAAACTTAAAAAGATCACATTTACGTCTTGTTTCGTATAAAAACAACGTTTTGTATTATTTCGTGTATCTTCTAAATGAGTGAATTTATTTTGTTTCTAATACAAATTTAAAAATAATTATATGCGAAAATGACATTTAAGAGAATAATCAGAGATGTAGGGTTGGCTAGGGCGAATGTTTAATTCCAATAAGAACACCCTAAGCACACTGAACGTTTTCAACAATTTGCCCATGACCATAAAAGTTTCAGCATTCATTCGAGCAAGGAAGCTCTGACGTATTTAGCACTCGTGTTCATAAACCTCCCGTTGTATTTATAGTTGTCTAGTTCTATTGGCCATGTTCCATTAAACTCTTCTCGTATCGAATTATTGCGTGTTTCTCATTTTCAATCCCATCTCCTAGAAGAAAAAAAAATATTAACACGACACGGCCAATTTTTATTCGTATCGACGAATAAACAATGCAGAAAAGAGAGATTATCTTTTTAAATTAGTTTTTTTTATTTAATTCAATAAAATTAGAGGAAAACATGGAAAATGTAGTTAATTGCAATATTGATTTGTATTTCTTTCCATCGATGACTTATAGTTGCGATAGTTTTATCTACGGGCTTTTCCTAAAAACTGCGATAATCTTACACAAATCCAATCAATTTGCGATAAATTTTCAAAACGTGCCAATAAATCTCAGTTGGCATTTAATCAAACCGATGATCAGGATATTCAAACCTGTAAAAGCCTATTCGATAATCATCGGAGACGAAGAAAATCTGTAATTTGTGTTTATTCATGTTTTAATGATTTTAAAAAAACTTCGGTTCTTAAAATCAGCAGTTTTAACATGGAATTAGTGCTTGTACTTACCAGAATATATTTTTTACGATCAAAATATCAAGTACACATCGACTTTTGCCTACTTACGTTCGGTACTTGGTGGAAAAATTGATTACAGACTGTCTTGTTAAAAAATCAGGTTTCAAACTATTGCAATTTTTATATGGTAATTAATTTTAAAAAAAGTGGTATAAAATGGTCTGAACTTTGTTCGAGATACCCAACGCCTAGTTAGTCGTTAAGACTGACAGAAATCATTTTACCAGGCACTAAACAACAAAATATTAACAAACCCATATTTTCACACAAAAAATTCAACCGGTGAAACTTCTGCACTGCTACGTTATAAAATCAATTCTCGTATCTGATGGCACATCTCGCTCAATGACGGGCCCGAAGATTTAACCTTTACATTTAAATGAACTCATCGATCTTCTGTTATCAGTAAAAAGGTATATAAAACGCTTACAAAATTCGTGCTTAAAGTGGTGTTCAGCAGTAAGAGAATTCGTTAGGTCTACGGTCTACTACGCACATTCACCCGCCCACCGACCCAGACCCGCACAAAGTCTCTCGTAGAATCACCAATCCATTCAATCATTCATCCACTCGTTCACATTTTCACCCACTTTAAGCGATAAAACATCACTCATTAGCTCACACTCTCGTAGAATCACCCGCTCTCAAGAATAAGCACGTACATTCGGCCAGTGAGACACTAACTCATTAACTCTCTTAATCACTCACTAGCTCTTCAACACAAACACAAAAACTCACTCACTTGTTCAATAACTCTCTCTTTTACTTAAACATACCGTCGCGTTCGTTAACTCACAGCCTAGGTTCTAGTCATCTCCCATACATATGTACCTGTTAAATGTATTTTTAAATATTAGAGTAATGTTACATATACTTATTTAAAATAGTAGTAATGATGAGGTTTTTGTAATTTAACATGTGTAAACTTTATTAAATTTTGACTATTTACCTACTCTGAAGAACACGAAATATATCGTCGAACATTCGGCGTCAGTACAAAGGCATTTTTTTGTTTTTCTGACGACAACAGAAACGAGAAAGACATATTGATCGATAGGTACAGTTGACGGGGAGAGGGAGAGATAGAGAGATAGAGAGAGAGAGAGAGAGAGAGAGAGAGAGTGAGAGAGAGAGAGGGAAAAGAAACATACACAGCAAGAAATGAGAGAGAAAAACATACTTGGAAAAAGAGAGATAGAAAGCGAGAGAGAGAGAGAGAGAGAGAGAGAGAGAGAGTGAGAGAGAGAGAAACACATAAATAGTAGGGATTGGTGAGAGAAAGTGATAGAGAGGAAAATGAGAGAGAGAAAAAGAGAATGTGGCAGACAAAAAATAAAAAAAAGAAAGATAGAAGAGAGAGAGAAAGAGATAACGAGATAGAGGTAAATAAACAAACTGATAGATAGGTAGATAATTAGATCGATAAATAGATAGAGAGGTAGATCAAAGGATAAATGATTGCTGAGAGAAAGTGATAAAGAGAAAAAGAGAAAAAAAGGAGAGAGTGGAAAAGAGAACGAGGCAGAAAAAAATGAAAAAGAAAGATAAGAGAGAAAGAGAGGGAGAGGGAAAGAGAGAGAAACATACAGAGCAAGAAATGCGAGAGAAACACATACTTGGCAAGAGAGAGATAGAAAGGAAAGGAGAGAGTGAGCGAGAGAAAGAGAAACACATAAATAGCAAGATATATACATCAAAAAAGAAAGAGAAAGAGAGGGAGTGGGGGAGAGAAAGAAAAGAAACATACACACAAAAAAATGAGAGAGAAAAACATACTCGGGAAGATAGAGATAGAAAGAAAGGGAGAAAGAGGGAGTGTGTGTGTGTGTGTGTGTGTGTGTGTGTGTGTGTGTGTGTGTGTGTGTGTGTGTGTGTGTGTGTGGGTGTGAGCGAGGAAAGGAGAAGCATTCAAAGCAAGAAAAATGCAGAGCGTGGGAGAGATAGAAAGAGTGAAAGAGAGAGAGGCAGAGAGAGAGAAAGATACACAACCACAAAGAGGGAGAGATCGAGTAAGAGAAAAGAAACATACACACCGAGAAATGAGAGAGAAAAACATACTCGGAAGATAGAGATAGAAAGAAAGGGAGAGAGAGAGAGAGAGAGAGAGAAAAAAAAGAAACATACACACCAAGAAATGAGAGAGAAAAACATAATCGGCAAGAGAGATAGAAAGAAATAGAGAGAGAGAGAAACACATACATGGCAAAATATACACATCAAAAGAGGAAGAGAGAGAAAGAGGGAGAGAGAGATACACAACCACAAAGAGGGAGAGAGAGTGAGAGAAAAAACATACACAACTAAAAATGAGAGAGAAATACACGCTCGACTAGGGAGAGATAGAATGAAAGCGAGAGAGAGAGAGAAACACATACATGGCAAAATATACACATCAAAAGAGAGAAAGAGAGAGAGAGATACACAGCCACAAAGAGTGAGAGAAAAGAAACATACACACCAAGAAATGAGAGGAAAACATACTCGGCATGAGAGAGATAGAAAGACAAGGAGAGAGAGAGAGAGAGAGTGAGAGCGAAACACATACGTAGCAAGAAATACACGAGGTGAAAGAGAGAGAAAGGAAAGAATGAGAGAGAAAAAGAGGGGTGCATACAAAGCAAGATATATCCATCAAGAAAGAGGCAGAGAGAGAGAGAAAAACATACACAGCAGTAAAGAGCTGGAAAGAAAGACGGTGCGTCAAAGAGAAAGAAGAGAGTGAGATAGAGAGAGAATGACTGTGTTTGTGAATACCTAAATTTGTAAAAATTAACCCTAAGTAATTGTAATTAATTAGACTAACGAACAGTGCGGTAAAATTGTTTGTGTGTGATATTTTTAAAACAGAAGCAAATTTTCTTAAAAGCTTAAGCTCTTATCAATAAAGTTCAGAAAACACAACCCATTTGATACTGTAGTTGATTACATTTGGTGAGGGTTGAAGATACAAACGAATAAAGGAATAGCGTTCAGTTCGACTTTTAAAATCTGGATGCTAATTAAAATTATTACAATGTCTTAATTTTTTATCCGTAAGGAAGTTTATACGAATAATAATGTCTGGTTTGAAGGTTGGCATCTAATAAAGAACCGTGCATAAATGATCATCGATCAGAAATTTCTAGAGTCAATATTGACGGAGGGGTGTCGGGGTCTCGAGCCAAGTTCTGACCCCGGCCGCTTTTTTCTCCCGACGATCTTTCAAGATTTCTTTTCTCTTTTTGTTCCAGGAAGCAATGTTGGGTCGGAGGATGCCTCAGGTGATGCGAGTGGCGAGGGAGGTGATGAGGGAATGTGTGCTGGGGGAGGTGGGGACAAGTTGGAGGGGTCCGACACAACTCAGGGTGACGCTCTTCACCTCCAGAGACGGGTGGGACTCTTCAGTGGGGTGGCTCTAATTGTCGGAACTATGATAGGTTTGTTTCAAATCAATTTCCTCCAATAAAAAAATATTTTAAAAATCGACATATTCTTACGTGCACGCAGACTTAAAAAGTAGTGAGAGTATGCACTGCTTTAAAAAAATGGTACATGTAAATTATCAAACATTCGTTTAAAAAAACTATCTAAATATTAAAAATAAACCTATTTATTAATATAATTGACAATATTAACCGCAAAATCGCAAAGGTGCTGTAGGAAAATATGTAGGAAATTAATTTCAAACGGCGGGAGAGTAGGCAGAACTGCAAATCGTACCGACCTTGCGGGTTTTTGCCTACTTTAAGAGGACCCACTACCCAAAAATTAAAAGAATTAGTTCTTTTAGCATTTCTTAGCTTAAATTAATCTCTAAAAACTGATATTTTTAAACAGTTTTATATTGTTTTCTAATAATATGTATATTTTTTTTCTTTCAATATTTTTCTATCTTTCAAAATATATAGTCGAAAGCCCGGATAATCCGAAAATTTGTAATTTTATTACTATTGAGTCATAAAAACAGAGAAAAAAACAGAAAAGTGAACACTTTTATTCATATATCAAGTTACATTTAAAGTAATAGATAGTTTTTATTATTTTTATTTTTGTATAAGTTTGGACATGCGTTTCTCGAAAAGTTTATATGTAAAAACTATTTAATAAAAATATACGTAATAAAAAAAAAACCTTTAGAATAGAAGCAAACATACAAACAACACGACACAACAATTTCTAGCATTTTAAATATACCTTTTTTTTTATTTTAATTTTTTTTATTTTTAACAAAAACGTGACTGTCAGCTTCTCCAGCCTCTTTAATCATGCGATTAGTGGAAGAGCCTTGATTTGGTGGCCTTTACGAATTTCAAATGACAAATTAAAGGTCCCATAGTTGAATTAGGAATTTGAAAAAATTAATATACACACCACATTGAAAAAAAAATATGTAAAATTTATAAAAAATATTTTAACAAACTGGTCAGGATAATCCGGAAGTCTGGATAAACAGGTTTCCACTGTGTGTGTGTGTGTGAGTATATATATATATATATATATATATATATATATATACATATACAGGGTGAGTCTTTTTTTGACGCACCATTGGAAAATCAACGCGGGTGCGTTTAAATCTGACTTGAGGCTTATTTCCTTTGATTAATACATTAACAAAAGAAAGTGAGTCAATTTTCGGTGCACCATAGGAAAATCAACATTGGTGCGTCTAATTATGACTCGGCACATTTTATTTTGTTAGTCTCGTACCAAAACATAGGCGAGTCACTTTTCGACGCACCATTCGTTACAAATTAGTTTTAGTAGGTTGGAAGGTAAATAAACAAAATCAATATTATTAAAACATTATTCAAACACAATGTAAAAAATTTAAAAAAAATTCTTCACAAATTAATTTGATTATGGTTTAAGAGTATTTTTTTCTGGTAAAGTAAAAAAATTAAATAAATATAACAATCTCCTTTTTTCTGGTAAAGTAAAAAAAATTAAATAAATGTAACAATCTCCTTTGTTAGCAAATCAAAAATGTTCAAAATCATTATAATAATTGTTCGAACAGACCTCCATTTGCTGCAACACAGTAGCCTAGTCTATCATAAAATGATGATCGGATGAAAAAATACTCTTAAATCTTAATCAGATTAATTTGTGAAGAATTTTTTTTTTACATTGTGTTTGAATAATAACCTTGATTTTCCTAAGGTGCACCGAAAATTGACTCACTTTCTTTTGTTAATGTATTAATCAAAGGAAATAAGCCTCAAGTCAGATTTAAACGCACCCGCATTGATTTTCCAATGGTGTGTCAAAAAATGACTCACCCTGTATATAATATATATATAAATGCATGAAGGGACTGCAGGTGTTTGTATGTTGTAACCGATGTCTGCCGTATCCAATACATCCTTTACAACATGTATGCTATATCTGATATGTAGCGATACGAGTGGGTGTGTTGTAGATGATGGGGGGATAATAACCCAAACAGAATGTATTTACATATGGATGTATTGAATGAAACAAAAATCTCCTTTAATTCATACAAAATTCCTTCTACATTCACATACTTTTGCTTAGGTAGGTTATATTATCATAATTTTCTACATTTGTAAAGAATTCAGGATTTTCTTCTGAAAATGGCAGCTAACAATGACTCAGAGACAGAATTTGCATGCGTTATATGCTGTAACCAATATTTCTGACCCCCTGGGATTCAAAAAGTGTACGCTCTAATTGATGTGTACACTTATACGGTCTAAGCAGTGTGTACATGTACACTGTGCTAAAGCAATTTTTCCTATACCATTTCACAGTGCCGGAGATTTTGTATGCTTTAACCAGTTGTACGTTCTACCCGATGTCGTAAATGGTATCCACTGTGTATATACATATATATGTTTATATGGAAAGATCTATCCTGTCTGGACATTTTGGCACAAACAGCCTATCCAAGTCACACATTTTTTTTTAAATTAAATTTATTTATTAAAACTGGTCTTATTAGACCAACCATTAATTTTACAATAATACTATATAATAAATAAATGTTTACATTCTTATAAACCCAGTGGTTCAATAAGATTTACATTTCACTATTCACTATTCATTTTTAACTACAAAAGTTCATATGGCTTTGTTCTTTTTAATCTTCTGACTATGTTTCGGTTATGTAAGGTCGCTTCTACATTCTCCTGCTGGCTGAGGCGAGCGTGGTGTTTGGCGACAAATCTTTGTATTTACTCCGTGACTTCATGGATCTTAAGATCCCTATTAAGTCCTTATTACTTATGTACCAAGGTGCATTGACCATGTGATATAAGATTTTATTTTGAAGTGTTTGTATCATTTTGATATTGCTGTGTTTGGTACAACCCCATGATTTATGTTTACCAGTAGAAAAAAATGCACGTAAAAGCCAAGAGATACTGATCTGGTTACTTATTGGGTTTGTCTACACTATTCCTCACTGAAGATGGTGCAAAGCCAAAATGTATTTGAGTAGCAACTGACCCAGCATAATTCAACATTCGTTCACCAATTTGCAGACCAACACCCACCATCAACTTTAAAGCCAAGACAGTTGCTCTCTTCAACAGAAATGTACATATATGGAAATATTTTAAGCTTATTCATAAGTGTAAGTTTATGAAGGGAAAATTCTGATTAATAAAACTGACAAATCCCACTTTTTTTCTTTTAAAATCGATGTCTAGTTGGCCAATCTATCCCCTTTTTGTATTTTTGGAAAAAAAGGATTTTTCCATGTTGTAATTTTGACTAATACCTGCTGGGATACAGCCAAAGTATTAAAATTCTAGGGCATATTAAAAAAAAAGATTATTTATTGGTTTTGATTCTACTCAGAAATTACTAATTTTTAAACACGAGAATTGAGAAGTCTTTGGAGGAACTTAGGTGTTCAAATCTTACCTAAATAATAAATAAATGTTTACATTCTTATAAACCCATTGGCACAATAAGATTTACATTTCACTATTCACTATTCATTTTTAACTACAAAAGTTCATATGGCTTTGTTCTTTTTAATCTTCTGACCATGTTTCGGTTATGTAAGGTCGCTTCTACATTCTCGTGCTGGCTGAGGCGAGCGTGGTGTTTGGCGGCAAATCTTTGTATTTCCGCCGTGACTCATTTCATGGATCTTAAGATCGCTCTGTAAGTCCTTATTCCTTATGTACCAAGGTGCATTGACCATGTTAAGTAAGATTTTATTTTGGAGTATTTGTATGATTTTGATATTGCTGTGTTTGGTACAACCCCATAGTTGAATACCATATGTCCATATAGGCTTTATGACTTGTTTTTATAATAATATTTTATTTTGTATAGCAAGATTGGAGCCATGTCCTATCAACCAGTATAGTTGTCTATACCTTAAACCTATTTCTGTCCTTTTCTTCTTCACGTGTTCTTTCCATCTCAGCTTGGCATCTAAGGTCATTCCCAGATATTTAGCTGTATTGCTGTATTGTATAGTAGTTCCATCTATTATACACCGCGGTCGTGGGTTCGATTCACACTGTCACCTCTGGCCCTTTTTTCCCGATAACCCCCAATTTGAACAACATATATAAGAAATTCGTCATGGCTAATATGCAAAGATCATAAAGCAAAAAAAAAAAACTTGATTTTCCATTTTTTTGTCCATCGTTTATCTTATTACATGCATTTTGGAGGATTTTTGTTGAATGGGTGATAGTTGGTCCTAGTGATATCACCGCTGTGTCATCTGCAAACGTTGCAATTTTTACTCCATCTATTTTCGGAATCACTGGTGTATAATAAGTAAAGCAGTGGACCTAATATGCTACCTTGTGGCAATCCAAGTCACACATGACATAAAAAATAAATAAATAATTTTTGAACATGAGCATTGAGATAAAAAAAAGTCAATGTCACAGGTGAGATTTGAACACCTATGTTCCTCCAAAGACTTCTCAAATATCGTGTTCAAAAATTAGTAATTTCTGAGTAGAATCAAAACCAATAAATAATCTTTTTTTTAATATGACCTAGAATTTTAATACTTTGGCCGTATCCCAGCAGGTATTAGTCAAAATTACCAAATGGAAAAATCCTTTTTTCCAAAAATACAAAAAGGGGATTAGATTGGCCAACTAGACATCGATTATAAAAGAAAAAAAGTGGGATTTGTCAGTTTTTTTAATCAGAACTTTCCCTTCATAAACTTACACTTATTAACTTATTGTCTTGGCTTTAAAGTTGATGGTGGGTGTTGGTCTGCAATTTGGTGAACAAAAAATTGCACTGGGTCAGTTGCTACTCAAATACATTTTGGCTTTGCACCATCTTCAGTGAGGAATAGTGTAGACAAACCCAATAAGTAACCATAACCTTGGTTTTCCGTGCGTTTTTTTCTACTGTTAAATATAAATCCTCTATTTACAGAAACATTTGTATGGAATACTTGAAATAGGCAAAAAATTAGAACAAACAAATGAAGAGATAATTTTAAAATAATTCTCGTCTTGAAACGAGGTCACTGCATAAAAAATAGAATTAAAAAAAATACATATATTCAAAATTCTATACTTTCTGTTTGTTTTGGTATAAACAGCCTATCAAGTGAAAGATGATGAATAAAAGTAATAAAATTTGACCTAGAATATTATTAATGTATCCCAGTTTTTCATATCACCCCCCCCCCCCGCAAACTTATGCTTTGTTCTAATTTGGACAGTACTTATGCAATGGTTATGAATAAACTTAAAATATATCAACTGATGTCAATATTGTCCATAATTTTAACTGGATTTTATAAATTATTTATAAGGTGGAGTTTTACTTTTTTCAAAGTTTTTTCTCAAACATTACCCCTTCAATTACAGTCGAAGTGGTGAGAAATGTTAAAACACCGACGTAACTGAAATTTTTAAACAATTTTCATAAGATGACCAAAAGTCACTGTTTTGGTCTAATATTAATTATTCTTTGTTTACACTTTAATAATCGTCCAATTTTATTAAAGAAAGCAACTCTTTTGAGTTTAAAATCAACACGTGTCAACCCATCAAAGGGGACCGTCTATATTCACAGGTTTTTGATGTCACTCAAGCACGTTTTGCCTTTGTACCATCTTTAGTGAGGTATATGAAAAACCCGCGAGTGTAGACAAAAAAAACAACCTTTCCTGACATTTGGCTATGAACAGCTTTTCCAAGTCACAAACGATGAACAAAAGGTATAAAATTTGATCTAGAATATTAAAGTCAGCAGGTTTGAGACTAATTTACAATATGGAAAATATATTTTTCAAAAATAATTACATTTTTTTTTTAATTAAAATGAAAGCCTACAAGAGAAATGCAATTATATTGTGTTAGTCGTAAAACAAAAACTACTGAATTAATTTCGACAAAACTTTCACACTTTGTTTTTATTAGTGTGGGCGGGTTTAGAGACTACAAAATGGGCATTTAATAAATAATGGACACCAGGATTTCCAAAAAAGGGGAAATAACACTTTTTATTATCTCCCTGGGCATGGAGGGTTATAAAGTTATAAATAAAAATTTAAGTTGTCCAAATTAAATTAATTTTACTTAATTTTTTATGTGGGTATAGACAATTTGTTAAAATAATTTTAATTAATACATGAAAACATCAATATAGGCTCATTTTTATGACTATTTCAGGAATAAAATTGCAAAAATTCATCACAAAAAAATAAAAATGTTTCTTTGAGCATATCACAAGGCAACATTTATAGTGGTAATAAAAATCAGTGTTAAAGATGTAAATATATGAAGATAAGATTATATAAGGTATAAAGATATGATTCTTTATCATAAAAATCTATCTTTTTTTCAGCAGACAATAAGGAAAATAATAGGCCTTTATTCTGGTTGATTCCTATTCAATTATCATCTAAATAAATGGGGAAAACTGAGACAGAAACTTGCTGACTCTGTCATGAAGCGGTAGAGATATCGGAAGATGTATTTTGTGACTGAATGGTTTATTATTACTTCTTTTATTTTATTGAAAAGGCAATAAAACCTAAAGAAGTAAGCGAAGAGGAACTGTGGAAAGTGCCAAACTATCCTCAATTCGACAACAAATTTTATGCCACAATGGAAGAAATAAAGATATCGACAATGTTCCTGATTTATGGGGAAACAAATGATAATCCTAATAGCAATATTTTGGACTATTTGAAGCTTTTCAAAATTTGTCTTACATGTATTTCCACAAATAGAGCTTCTATAAGGGATTAGCAGATGGATAAATAATTCATAAATTAATTTTTTGCGGTTTGGGTAATTTTTTAAAGCTTTTCCAACATTTTTTGTACACCTTTTGATAAAATGATTTTATGGCATTTTTAGCATTCTCCTTAGTATAATTTGGTTGAGACTCAATAGACGAATCAGGAAAATTTTTTTTTAAATATTATTTTTAATGTTGAGTTAGGATCACTTTTAAATATCAGGTAAAAATTGCTTAGCTGCAATCAGGTTTTTATGAGCGAGATGCATCAGCAAAGAGAGCCACATCCAATGTTGCCTTTTTGTAAATTATTTTTCTACTCACAAACTTGTATTGTTGCCTTTAGTGTGCAAAGTTAACAAGATCTAAATAAGGAAATAAGGGTTGGACCAAGATCTGATCCTTGGAGAACTCCTACTATTTTTTGGAATTATTTGCAGCCATTTATCTTGGCAAACAAAAATTTCTATTTGTCAGACAATTACTAATAAAATGTGTTAAGTAGTTAAGAAAGGTATAAGACATAAGCTTTAAAAAATTCCACTCTGTCACACACAGTCAAAAAGCTTCTTCTACGTCAATAAGCACCATTCCTGCTTATTGAGATGAAAATTATAGAGGATATTATTTAAACTTTTGCTAATTGCATGGTAGTAGAATGCCTGATATTTCATGTCATGTCAAACAATGCTATAATTTAATTTATTATACCATAACATGTGAAAATTTACTTTATTTAATATTATCAGAATTATGATAAATTTCATAAATTAAGAATATTTATTTTAATTAAATTTTTGTTAATGATTTGTCCAGATTTCTAAAGGTGAAATACTAAACATTATCTGTTTAACAGGATCTGGGATTTTCGTCTCGCCATCTGGCTTGCTAGTGCGCACAGGCTCAGTGGGAATGAGTTTTGTCATATGGATAGCTTGTGGTGTACTCTCCCTCTTGGGTAAACTACTATTATTAAATGCAAACCATCAGCATATCAAGTTTTTGTTTTATCTACAGGAGCATTAGCATATGCGGAATTGGGCACGATGAACACCAGTTCAGGAGCGGAGTACGCTTACTTCATGGACGCGTTCGGGGCTCTCCCGGCCTTCCTGTTCTCCTGGGTGTCGACACTCATGCTCAAACCATCCCAGATGGCGATTATTTGCCTGAGTTTTGCAAAATACGCAGTCGAGGCGTTCGTTTCCGAATGCGATCCACCGGACTTGGTTGTAAAACTTGTGGCCATTCTTGCGATTAGTAAGTATTTTCAGCGTACTATTTCAGACCTATCAGTTTTTTCCTGTAATCTATAAAATTATCGAAAGTCTAATTTTGAAACATATAATACCCAACTTATATTCACATATACATTTTTGATCAATCCTATTGCACAAGAATTTTGTACAGTACCCAATCCCAAAACTGCTCCAAATAGACATGTCTTCCATGTGCAGTACTGACCATAGGGGCAAAATTGCAACCGGATAAAAATTACCATACACACATTTGTTATATGTATAACTTTTTACAAGTTATGAAAAATATAACTATTTGCTTTTAAAATGGTGATTTTTTAAAAATAAATTAAACAAAAAATCAGATTTAGTTCAAACAATAAATACCAATCTTGATTTAATGATGAGAAAATTCTGGAAAAAACTTCTTAACATTATCAAGTTTAAAAAAATCATTCTTGTAGATTTCCACTCTTCAAAGAAATTATAACTCTGTTCATATTTTTATACAATTTCAAGTTGCGAATGTGCCCAACATTTGATACTAGGGATTTTAATAAATTATCCTCTTTTTATAAACAAATATTTTTAGAGGGACCTCTTGACACAGAAAACCCTTTAGAATCAAATCCCTCAACCGACATATTTGTTTATTTCATTCTCTGATTGAGGTTCTGTTGGGTCGGCTCCAATGAAAATCTAAGAGCGACAAAATTGTATTTTTCACCCTGTTCAATCCAATGTTCTAAGACTTTCTGGGAGAAGTCATAAACCCAATTACAAGAAATAAAAGCATGGGTGCATAAAAAATTAAAACGTTTAAAATAGATTTTAATATTGCTATGATAATTTTAAGCCTTTTGTTTGCTTCCTTTTTTAATTACCCACACACTCCCTCTTAGTCACTTCATTCAAACATTTACTCACTTTTTTGCTCATATAAACTTACCAGTTCTCTCTCTTTTTCTCTCTTTCTCACTCTCTCTCTCTCTCTCTCTCTCTCTCTCTCTCTCTCTCTCTCTCTCTCTCTCTCCCCCTCTCTCCCCCTCTCAACATTCACTTTTGTTCCCTCATTGAACACTTACTCTCACTTCCTCAGAGTCTTTCTAACATAAATTCTTTCTTTTTCACTCAAACACTGCCTTACTCAGTTATTTAAACACTTATTCTCTCTTTCCCACACTCACTCTCTGTCATTCAAACATTCACCTTCCTTTTCTCTCATTCAGTTATTCAAATATTTACTTTCACTTCCTCTCACTCAATCATTCAACTACTCTCTCTATCTTTCAATCACTCAAACACTCATGGACTCAATTATTAAGCACTTACTCTCACTTTCCTTCACTCTCTCACTCGTTCAAACACACTGGGGGTTACCTAAGGTACTTAGGAAATTTCTAATTAGAAGAAATAAAATTGTGTGTATTATAAATAATTAAATTGATTTTAAGAGATTTATGCTTTTAAAATTATTTTATGAGTGTATGCTTTTTGTTTTAGTGATCATCTTGTTTATCAACTGCTACAGTGTCAACTTAGCGACTATTGTAATGAATGCATTTACAGCTGCCAAACTTGTAGCGATAGCAATAGTGATCATCGGAGGAATATATAAACTCTGCCAAGGTATTGCAATTATAAAAAAAATTATATTTATAACCAGCTAATTTTATACTAAAACTTGAAATTATTCGAACTGGCTAGAGCCTGGGCTAATTACGTCCATAGCTTAAACTGAATTAATTTTGTTTCAACTGTAATTAGTGTAATTAATACATTGTTGAGACAATATTACTATTTAAAAATTGATGTTTTATTAGCTCGATTGCCCTTTTTAGGCAAATCATATCACCAATGATAATTTTTTTTTCCAGGGAGTACTCAAAATCTTGAAAATGCATTTGATGGAACATCTTACTCTCTTGGTAACATTGCAACTGCATTTTATACTGGACTTTGGGCTTATGATGGATGGAATAATCTGAATTACGTTACAGAAGAAATAAAAAACCCTTCAAAGTTAGATTTTTGGAAATATAATTCTCAGTTTATTTTCTTGTGTATTTATACTGTTGATTAATTTTTTTTTTACGTTTAGAAATTTGCCAAGATCAATTATGATTGCCATTCCATTAGTTACTATTTGCTATGTTTTAATAAACATATCCTACCTCGCAGTAATGTCGACATCTGAAATGACAGAATCTGAAGCTGTAGCAGTGGTAATTTTCTATATTATATTTTATAAAAACATTGATATGGTGAAGAATGTGCAGAAATAAATGATGCAATGATTTCAGACCTTTGGAAACAGAATCCTTGGAGTAATGGCTTGGTTAATGCCTTTATCAGTTACAATTTCCACTTTTGGTTCAGCTAATGGAACACTTTTTGCTGCTGGAAGGTAAATTGACAAAGTTTTAAAATCGTACAGACTTCTTATACAGCAATATTTTCAGACTTTGTTTTGCTGCAAGTCGAGAAGGGCATTTATTGAATATTCTCTCTTATGTTCACATCAGACGCCTCACGCCAGCACCCGGTCTTATTTTCCATGTAGGATCGATAAGCCCATTTTGGCAATTGTTGACTTGTCATTAATTATTTTTTTCCAGTCTTTTATTGCTGTAGCCATGGTCATGTCTGGAACGATCGATTCGTTGATTGATTTCTTCAGTTTTACCGCATGGATATTTTACGGTGGAGCGATGCTTGCGCTGATTGTGATGAGATTTACACGCCCAAATTTCCCTCGGCCCTATAAGGTAAATAAAATAATTTAAAAAATACTATTATCCATAAAAGAATCATAGTAAAATTTCCATCGACACCTTTCAGGTCCCGATCATCATTCCAATAATAGTTTTGGGAATATCTATGTACCTGATCGTAGCTCCTATTATTGACACACCACAGATTGAGTATCTTTACGCTACTTTTTTTATACTTGGAGGTTTAGTATTTTATATACCATTTGTATATTATGGTGTTACTTCGACAATTATGGGCAAGTACAAGAAACAGACTTTACTATTATATATATGTGTAGTATATATAGTAGACAAAATTGAATTACTAAAAGAATATCTTTTTCTTTTTGTTCTTCAGAGCGGTTTACAGTCTTTTGCCAGCTGCTGTTTGAAGTTGCACCAACCCAAAATATGTACGACTAAAAAAAAATTATATTTATTTTTCTAGAATAATTGAGTTTTATAGACAAATCAGATAATTTATGTTTTGACAAATATATGTGAATACCTTTATTCTGATCGAATATTAATGGAGATTGCTAAAATGTAAATTGGTTTCTAATTATGCAGAATGGATTTTAATTTTTGTTCCATGACTGTTAAAAATTAAAATATCAATTATTAAAGCCTTTGAATAAGTATGACATCGAATATGTTATTCACCCAAATTAGCTAAATATATTATATGCCAATTTATACCTGACAAAAGTTAGTACTGGTATTCTCAAATTATTAATATTACAACTTTTAACAAAGCCAAGTGAACAAAGCTCAATTAAACTGTCGATTGCAATGTACACAATTTATTTTATTTGTTCCAATACCAAATTTTATTGTAATAAGTATTTTTTTAATAACATTAACATGCATCGTATATTAAACTAATTTTTGTAAACAAATGTTTCTCTGTTTGAAAATTTATTTTGTTAAAACCAACACAAATTGAGGTGTTTCCAAGTTACCATAAATTGATATAAATATATTAAGGTTAATGAATATAACATAGTTGCCTTAGAAAAATTATCAAAGTGATTTATTCATTGGCAAACGGCTTTGAATGATGACAAAAGATTACAGAAGATATTGTAGTGTTAATCATATAAACCGATCATGTCCTAAGCGTATTCGAGAATCTTTTTTTATCATCAAAGTTATGTGATTAGATTGGGTGTGATAATTTTAGCTTTCTATATTTCTTGAATACAAAAATATAAAATTTAAGTTTTTTTATTTATTATTTTTGTAAAAAGCAAAAAAATGTTTTACTAAAAAGTTTATTGTTTGTATATCGTTAATAAACAAAAATGTTATAATACTTATTAGAAACAAAAAATGAAATAAACGTATATATCCGTAATTGCTGGTTTTATTTATCTTAAACCATGAAAAATATTATATTGACCTATTTGACTATTAAAATAGTTAATATCTCTTCTGAAATGCCATTATAAATAAATAAATAAATATAATTTTTTTGCATAATTGCAGCTGTGAATTTGAAAGTTATATAAATCTTGTATACAAACATAAAAACCAGGTAAGCAGTTTTCTATAGAATAAAAAATTTAGCGTTTAATTTCTTTTATTATTTATTTAATCAGCTATGTTATATTCCTATTGTACCAAGATATTTGAACAGGTTTTCTTGCTGTGTATACAATTTCTAATATTGAAATGAGTTATTCTTTAAAGATGTTAAGATATTTTTTCATTTTTGTACTTGTATTGTTCTGATAATGCTATATTTGGTATATTATGTCATAATTTCATTGAAACTATCAAGAAGAGAAATGTGAAAAAACCAGATTTATAGTAATAATAATAAAGCCTCCTTATTTAATTAATCCCACACATATTCACACTCACTGAGCATCAAACACTGACTCACTTGTTTCAAATGCACTACCCTCTCACACACTTCCTCAATAGTGCTTTCACTTTCCTTACACACTCATTCATTCACTCACCCTCTTTCTATCACTCCAACACTCATTCCTTCAGTCATTCAAATATTTATGCTCTCATTCCCTTACTCACTCGCTGTCTTTCAAACATTTACTCTTTCTTTCCTTCACTCAGATATTCAAACTCTTTCTCATCGATCCTTCAAACATGAATTCTTTCTTTCTTAAATGCAGTTATTCAAGCTCACTATCTCATTTTCACATAAATTCACTCTCTTACAAGCTCACATGCACACTCATTCTTTAAATCACTCTGTAAACACTTGCTCTGTCTTTTTTCATCATTTATCACTGTCACCCAAACATATAAACTTTCTCTTTCACTTATTCAATTATTCAAGAGTCACTCTCATATACCCTCATTCTCCTTACACACTCATATGTACACTCATTTAAACACTCACTCACTGCTTTTCAAATATTTATTCTTTCTTTTGTACATTCTGGCAACACCTGGAGAGTTTGAGTAAGAATGTGAGTGTGAAAGAATGTGTGAGAGAAAGTGTTTGATAACTGAGTGAGTATTTGTGTGAGATAAAGTGAGAATGAGCGTTGAATAACTATGTGTATCTTTTATGAGGTAAAGAGAGTGGAAGGGTTTGAATGGCAGTGACAGAGGGACAGAGAGGGTAAGTATTTGTATGTCTGAGTGTTCGAGTGAAGGAAAGAGAGAGTAGGTGATTGAATGAATGAGAGTGAGGATTTGAATGACTGACTGAATGAATTCTTTAATGAGGAATTAAAGAGTAAATGACTAAGAGAATAAGGGAAAGATAGAATAAGTTTTTGATGATTTCTTCTTCTGCTCCTCTCTTCACTGACTCTCTCTCACTCACTCACTCACTCACTCACACACACTCACTCACTCACACACACACACACACACACACACACACACACACACACACTCTCTCTCACGCTTTCCCCCCTCCCTCCTTTCTNATCCTCTCTTTCCTACACTCACTCTCTTTCTTTCAAACACTTACTCTCTCTTTTTCTCACTCATTATTCAAATGTTTACTCTCTCTCTTCCTCTCACTCAATCATTCATACACTCACTCTCTGTTCTCTCACTCAATCACTAACTGAGTCATCTAAATACTCTCTCTACCTTTCTCTCACTCAAACACTCATGTTTTCAAATATTAAACACTTACTCTCACTTTCCTTCTCTCATTCACTCACTCACTGCTTTCACACTCACTCTCTCACTCGTTCAAACACTCTAGAGGAGAATAAGGAAGAGAAAGAATAAGTTTTTGATAATTTCTTCTTCTTCACTCCTCCTCACTCACACCCTCTCACTCACTCTTTCTCTTTCACACACACTCTCATTCCGCACTCTAGTAGCGAAGACTACATCATTTTTCAACTCGTGTTCATTTTGTGCAGTCGTCCGCCATTTTTTTTCTTTCTGGAAAATGTCTTATTTTCATGGTGTGAAGTTTGTTCAGTTCCGTACTCGTTAATTAGGAATTTTAAGAGTGGGGAACCACTTTCCAGTCCATTGTATTTAAAGCACATTTTTTATGGTCAGAATAGGTCGGTGTTGTTTCCTCTTCTTGTTTTCCTCGTATTTAGCNTTGGTCCTACAGTTTTTCGATTTATGTAAATGATACGGCTTTCTTCATTTAACATGGGTTGGTTTCAAATTTATTTCCTTTGTTAATTTATCATGAAAATAACAAATCTACAAGAAGAGGATAAAAGTTAATTTATTCAATCTATAAGTAAATCAGTATAACAATATGCTTATTATTTATAGAAAAATTTTTTGTAAGCCTTATTTTGGAAGTTTTTAATTTTTTTAAAATTATTTTGTTAATTTTTTATATATTTTTGAAATGAAATTCATGATCTTATTTCATTTCTGTAAAAAGTTTTAACTATTATTTCTTTAAAAATATTTAATATATAATTTTTTAATTAATTTATTTATTTTCCTTATTTTTAATATTGCAAAAAGCTAAATATTGTGAATAAATTAATTATAAAATATATTAAATATTTTGAAAGAATAATGTAAAATGACAACTTTTTACATAAACGAAATATATGATTTCAAAATGATCACAAAATTGTGAATTTTATTTTTCAAAATCCTGCAAATAATGTGTAAAAAAAGAAATTTTCTTCTACAAAAAATTTATTTATTTATTAATTTTTTTTTTTTTCGAGTATTCTTAACAGCAGAAGTCATATCAACCCTCGGGGAGTCTGTGTTTTTGAAAAAGCCCATTTTTAATGCAGGGGCCCCTGGTTTCCAACCAGGACCTTTACAATGATGAGCACCATGACAATGCCCCAGAAGTTTATTATTATCCTTGCTGGGTTGACACATTGAAGATGGCAAAATGCCAAAACACGTCTCACAGACCAATCCATGGAGTATAGACAGACCAAAAAGTTTGGCAATGACCAAATTTTCAAATTATTTAGGTGTTGCGAAAAAACAAGTTTTTTAAAACGAAATTTGTAAACAATTGTTCTGCCAATTATTTGCATAAATATGAAAAAATGATAATGTTCTAATTTATATAGAATTTGACCAAAATATTGTTTAAAAAATAAACAAAATTAGCTTTTCACATTCCAAATCAAAAGGGAAATACCTGGTAAATATGGCATTCTAATAGAAGTATGTATTGAATGGCACTTTTGCTCGTAGTTTTTCAAATCATTTAATTGTTACTTTTTTACTAATTTATGTTAGAAATTCAATTAAAGCGTGAGGATTATCTCTCTTGACAGAGGGTCAGAGCACATTCAAGTCAGAGATAATCTTTTTTTGTCGATTTAGAGTCTAATAGCTCACCAGTTTCAGTCACCCGTTCTTACTAATTAGTTATAACTCTGAATAAAACTAGAATGTATTAAATTTGGTTCATTTGGTATCAAATTACGTACCTCAATTCATTTGGAACAAGCTGGACAAGGTCTGTATATTCTGTAGATTCATCGACCAACTTATGCAGATATTCTTTGTTCTCTTGGATGATATCAGGGATGTGGTGAAAGAAAGATTCGTTTAATTTTAAATTTTCGCCTAGCTTTTGGAACTTTACTGTACCTTCTTCAGGGCTCTATAAAAGGAGATATTATACATATATTTTAATTTTGGCCAGTTTAACATCAAATTATATATATAAGAACAGGACACACATTTTTGTACTTACTGATTTTTGGTCAGAAGTGTATAAACTTAAATTCTTTTATTACACCGAAAGCTAGGCGAAGATTTCAAATTAAAAATATCTTTCTTTGACCACATCCCTGATAATAACCAAGAGAAGGTCTGTAAAATTTCGCCTAAATAAATATTCTACATCGCAGGACCAAAAACATTCTTCTGTTTTCAGGTCAGATTTGATCTTTATTTTCATCAATTGCAATAAAGTGTTAAATACACTATAAATATATTTATTATTAGATTAACATATGCATTTAATAGACATAACTGACCATATTAATAGAAATATATTTATTATGTTATTTTATCATCTCTTAACTTAACACATTTTCTTACACTTTAGTAAAATACTTTTAAATCGAATGTTCTATTATTATTTACCATTTTCAAACTTTCATTTTAGTTCGGTTTTATCTTCAACAATTAAATGTTTTTCAAAACATGGGTTTATCCCAAGGCCAAAGATAGACATGTTTTTCTTATTAAATATTCATTACCAATTGTCAACTGCCTTTCCAGTATGTTAAATAAATTTGGAAGTATAATTGACCCAGGGGCATAAAATGTGGCATCCTTATAAAAATGCCCTCGATACACAATTTGTATATCAAATTAGTGTCAAAATGGCCATAACCTTTTAATTATAAATATTCTTTATACTAAAAAAAAAAAAAAACACGACTTTATGTTTTGTATGTTAGGTTTGATCTTATCTTTCAACGATTACACTCAACCTTACTGCATTAGAGCGTTAATGCTTTAACAAGTCTACGCACAAATTGTACTACTGTAACACTTTCTAACATATGGTAAAAATATTATTACAATCCATTCTAGTAATAAATAAATTTCTTGTAATTTTGGCTAATTTTCTTATTGTATATTTAAAACCATTATAGATAAATTCTATGTTAACAGTTTTGTTAGAATGTATTTATAAGCATAAATGTGTCTTTAGTAGAAGAGCTTTGATGGCGGAATATTAACCCTCATCTCACCGGTGAACAATGTGAGCAAATTTCTCCAGCTGGAATACAGCCATAGTTCATTTTTGGCACTTTTTAAAAGCTAATATAAAATAAAATACACTGATGGACAAAATAAACGCACCACTCTTAAATTTTAATGTCTTTTAGGTTTATTCATATTTTGCATACAAAAACCGGTTTGTAAAGAGAAAGAAAAAAACAGCAAATTCAAAAACAATTAAAAATGCTTAAAAAAAACTTTTTTGTACCCTTTAATACTGATTATTTCCTCCTCTGGCTCGAATAAGTCCGTTAAACATTTGCATTTCTTGGAAGAGATTTTTGTTTCCAACTCTTGTAAGGGGTTAGGACCTGGTTTCGCCATCATACTCGTTGCTTAAGTTGGTCCCAAATGTATTTGATTGGGTTCAAATCTGGACTTCGAGCTGACCATACAAAGCATTCAATTCCAACCTCGTCCAGGTAGTGATCCACAATACATGTTCTATGTGGCCTGGCATTAACCTGCATTAGCAAGAATCTTTCACTGATGTAGAGGCAAATGGCATTACATGTTCTTTGATTGTCTTCACCTCTGTGAAGTTGGAAATCTTAGAACAACAACCAATTTGGTGCGGGCATCAAGGAAATGCCACCCAAGACACACCCAATGGCTTATGAGGAACCAAACAGCATGGGGTGTACCTTTATCTGAGTTCTCCCCAGAAATTACGCCCATCTGAATATTTGAGGCCAATTCTCACCTCATCTGTAAAGAGAACTCATCCCGAAACTTCCAATGTCCAGTTCACATGTGAATTGAAGCATAGCTATTTTCTGATATGTTGTAAGAAGAGGTCCACAAGCTGCTGTAGGGTCCTGAGGTTATTTTCATTGAGCTTTCTTCTTACAGTCCTGGAGGAATTGAAACATTTCGGACTTCCATTATCAGATTTCTTATCTCTCTGTAATGCTGCGGTTTTGTAGAGTCTGATGAATCTATTGTCTGTAGGCTTTTAGGTTCACCCTGTCCTGGCCTTCTAATCTAAAGCCCTGTTTCTCTGAAGCACTGAAGAACCCTTCCTAATGTGTGTTAATTTGTTCAACATTATAATACAGGAAATAATTTGTTTAAAAAAAAAGTCAAAACCCATGTATGTGTCCCACCTAATTAGAGGGATCCAAAATGACTCCATACAGAGAGCATGTGGGAAAACCACCCGATATGAGAATTGTGCTTGAGCATGGCTGCGAGGACCTGGGTCCCTTGTTCCGATTCTTGGAGGAAACAGTTTTGTTTTATTGTATATAGTACTTCAATCTATTTATGTTTAGTAGTCTAATTGACTGTATTGATTATTTCAATTAATTATTCTTTTTATGTAAGGTCTTGATTGAAATAAAAAAGTGTCACGAGCAGTATTCGAACCCACGACCTTCGGCTTAATAAGCCGCTGCTCTAGCCACTTATGCTATCGTGACTTCGATCTTCTCGGATCATCGTCAATAATGACCAAACTACACAACAGACCAGGATCAGACGTTGGTCTTATCTGTCCTGCCAGCAAAGTTAGGCACCAGCTATACATTCATGCTAAGATACATGGAATACCAGGGAATTATAGCTCCCTTTAGCACAAGTGACTTCGGTGCCCTTTTCTTAGCAAATTGATAATTTTATTGGGCTTCTTTCATGCTAATAAATACATTTAATCAACATAAACAAAAACAAACTCAAAACGAAATATCCATCAAATATAATATACAGTACAACAAACCAGTTTCCACCAAAAATAATAACAGGGGACCCAAACACTCGCTGCCATGTTCAAGCATTCCTACAAGGTTTTTATATGGAGCCAAGGAATGGCACCCTTCTTTAATGTCAAATCAGGATTGTAATAACCTCATTTTTAATATTTTTGCCTAATATTCTAGTAGTTCTTGAAGAGAATCATTTGAAATTTTTAATAGTACAAATGTTTGTAGATGATGGGGTTTGGTTGTTTACAAATGTTTGTCTTTGCTGAATAAAAGATTTTGCTGATTATGTTTTCAGTAAATTTAAACAAACAATGGGTTAGGATTTTTCTTTAAACATTTTTGCTAACTACTGTTCAATTTTTGTTGTTAAAGGATATCTGAATAAAATGGAGGTGTTACCTGTACTATTGACTCTTTCTGTTGTCGGGCTTTTGACAGCTTACTTGGCAATCCGAATGTCCTCTTACTGTAAGAAAGGTTCAAAACTTCCAGGCATAAACAGTTTTATGTCATTTGATTTGGTCTTGAAACTGTGGATTTCAAAAGAAGGTACGAAAAGATTCCTATTATTGGGGAGGGGGGAACAAACAAAAAAACTGAAGAATAAAAAATGAGATCTTTTTCAGATATGTTCTCAGTTGTGAAAGATGTCCTTATAAAAACAAAAAACCTAAATAAAGATTTGGTGGCATTTTGGTTGGGTCCTGTGTTGCTCGTCGAAATAAAAAACCACGACGATCTCGAGGTTTGTAAAAAATATATTGTCTGACGTTTTTAGGCAAGAGATTTGTTCTGTTTTCAGCAAATATTAACAAGCCAAGAATGTTTGACAAAATCAATACAATATGAATTTCTGCATAACTGGCTCGGTACAGGATTGCTTACGTCGACCGGTAAGCGTTTCGCTTTAATTTTTGGCATGTAGCAATTCATTTTCACAATTTATTTAGGAGCTTTGTGGCACAGCAGAAGGAAATTGCTCATGCCAACATTTCATTTTAAAATATTGGAACAGTACATCAGCATTTTCAACGAGAACCTGGAAATATTAATTGGAAAGCTTAAATCAAAAGTGAAACAGGGGTTTTTCGACATTGAAGAATTTATCACAACTTATTCACTTGATGTCATAGCGGGTAAGAAATATTTTACTATTGTAAAATTAATTTTTTTTTAAATATTATATGTATACTTTTTTCCAGAAACAGCCATGTCGATCAAAATAAATGCCCAAAAAGAATCAACGCCGTTTACATTAGCCATTAAAAGGTGGGTTTAAACAACTTGATATTATAATCGACACGATTGCCTTTATATATTGGTAGTAAACTTTTTCCAGCATCACCAATTCTTTGTTCATTAGAGGTTTGACGATTTTCTATTATTTGGATAGCATTTACAAATGGTCACCAACCGCTAAAAGTGAAAAGAATTCAATAAACGTCATTTTTAACACAATCAATTCAGTAAGTTATAAAACATTAATTACAATAATAAAATCTGTTTAAATGCAATTTAGTTGAAAAGTAATTCTAGAATTAAAACAATAAATTTAATTCAATTAATTACGGTTTTTAGTTGAGATAAAAAAGTCAGTGTCACGAGCGGGATTCGAACCCACAATCTTTGGCTAGATACGCCGCTGCTCTACCGCTTGAGCTATTGTGACCTCTCTTTTATCTCAACTAAAAACCTTAATTAATTGAAAGATACTAATTGGTCAAGCGGACCACAAAAACTCGTGAATTTAATAAGTTTAATTGTTTTTCATCACAAAAAGAAAAGTTAGTCAATTTTAGTTAACTTGAGTACCCAAGGAATCTAAATATATAAATATTTTTAGGTGGCTTTTTGTAGAAGGAGTAAATACACTATTTTAATTTTTACAATATTTGTCGCTATTTTTATTTGAAACAAAACTAAAATTATAAGTTATCACATAACATCTCAACTGGTTCATATAACAATTTTTGATCTGATAATAGAATTATTATTAGTATTGTGTAAGTAGATGTAAGTATGAAAGTTTACAAAATTCAGGCTAAGCTGTCAAGAATTAATGAGGTGGAACAAATTTTTGATCAAAACCACGATTATTGCTTTGGATCCTTTGAAATGGTGGCAAGGCACCAATGTACTATAATATCAAATATTGCAGTGTCTCATCATTTCTTTTAACTGCCCATACTGTTTGAAAGATTTCCTTTTTGTATGAATGTATTTATTAGTGTGAGTAGTTTGCTTATGTGTTGATGGGTTTGTGGCCGAATATACATACAGTATCCACAGACCCACTAAAGTAAAATATGTTAATTGTTTTGTTTATTGAGTGAATGTTAACAAGTAACAACAAATAATATCAAATACAATGATGACTCGCTGTTTCTATTAACTGCACACACTGTTTGAAAAGGTACTTTTTTATGAATGTATCTATATAGAATACCCACAGACCCACCAAAGTAAGATAGGTTAGTTGTTATGTTTACAGAAAGAATGGTAACAAGATATTGGTTTAATATCAAATACACCGATGACTTGCCATTTTTATTAACTGCATCACTCTGTTTGGAAGGTTTTCTCTTTTTTTTTTAATGTATTTATTGGAGTAAGTGTTTGAGTTGGTGTGAGTGAGTTTTATGTTTTAATGTAGAATACCCACAGACCCACCAAAGTAAGATAGGTTAGTTGTTATGTTTATAGAGTGAATGGTAACCAGATATTGGTTTAATATCAAATACACCGATGACTTGCCATTTTTATTAACTGCACCACACTGTTTAGAAGGTTTTCTCTTTTTATGAATGTATTTATTAGTGTAAGTGTTTGGGTTGGTGTGAGTGAGTTTATGGTAGAATAGATGCACCAAAGTAAGCAAGTGGTTATATGTTTATCAAGTGAATGGTGATGAGGCACCAAGGTAATATAAAAATGCAGTTTCTTACCAATCCTTTTGAAATGGATATACTGTTTAAAGGGTTATGTTTTGTATGAATGTATTTATTAGTGCGAATAATGGTAGCAGTGTAATATTGAGTACTGTGAGCACCACCAATCTTAGATTAGATTGAAATTGTTTTATTATTTTACTTTTGCAAACCAAACATTTATTCTTCTTCTTTTGCAGCTAATAGCAACTAAAGAAAAATCAGTTACAGTTGTAAATGATTTTAGTACCAATGAATTTGGTATGTATTATTTATTTAAAGATTATTATATATAAAAAAGAATAAAATATATTTATCTTTATTTTAGGGGAAAAGCAAAGAATTGGCTTTATTGACATGCTTTTACTTGCAAAAAGTAAAGGAGATATTGATCTTAAAGGGGTTAAGGATGAAGTTAATACATTTGTGTTTGAGGTGAGTATAAAAATGGAGAGAAACATACAATAACATTTAAAAAAAGAAATTAAATGTTATGGCAGGGACATGACACGACTTCTTCAGCTATGAATTTTGGCCTGTACCTCCTGTCGAAACATCCAGAAGTACAAGTAGGTGATCTCAGAGTTATTATTATAGTTATTAATCAGTGAAATTTGCCCAATCGAAGGAAAAAATTTATGCTGAGATCAAAGAAGTTCTTGGTGAGAAAACCGTTTTGGACCACAACGACCTCAAACATTTGAAATATCTGGAAAGAGTTATCAAAGAAATTTTAAGACTGTACCCAAGCGCACCTTTAATTGGAAGGTCCCTTCAAAAAGATTTCAAGCTCAAAAGTAACAAATTATTTCATTTTAATTTTTTATTAATTTTATTTTGTAATATATTTTTTTTTATCAAACTAGGTGGTCATGTACTACCAGCTGGCACGACAATCGTCATCTTCTTATACCACTTGCACAGAAATGAAGAAGTTTTTCCAGAACCGGAAAAGTTTGACCCGGACAGATTTCTGCCAGAGAATTGTGTAAAAATGCATCCGTACAGTTATCTACCATTTAGTGCAGGTTTTCGTAATTGTATCGGTAAGGAAAATACGATTGAAAATTTTCTATTGCACAATTAATAATTTCCATTTCCACAGGACAAAAATTTGCAATGCTTGAGGTAAAAATAGTACTGGCTGGGATAATATCAAATTTCAAAATCCTTCCTTCGAACCAAGAAATTAAAGAATTTACTAGTGTCGTTTTAAGATCTGCAGAAGGAATCAACATTTCTTTAGAAGAAAGAATCGTCAAAGAACCTTGATTTATGCTTCATTTATATGTAATAAATCATTTATAAACTTTTAGTCATGTTGTGAGATTTCTACTATCTTGATTATTTGGAGATCGTGAGATGCGGTCGTATTTGACGTAGGTTTTAGAAAAACATTTTCTTTATCACGCCAACGTTTTTATCTTTATTGGGATCATCTTCAGGGCTCAAAACGTGTTTGTTTTCCATGTAGATGTGTCATTGTTGAGTGTCGTGTTGAGAGTGTCTGAAGATGATCTCAATAAAGATCAAAACGTTGGCGCGATAAAGAAACTGTTTTTCTAAAACCTACGTCATACCAGACCACATCTCACGACCTCCAAATAATCATTATGTAATGGTCACATAATGATATCATTTCTATTATCTTTCAACCTGCAGTTTTTGTCATTTTGTTCTAGCTTGTTTCACTATATGTATGCATTTTGCCTTCATCACCTCTAAATTAAACTAAAACTCACTACCAACGATAGTAAAGACAAAATATTGTCAGACAGGCCAAAGTTTCAATGATAGCCAGAGCTAAAGAAATTTTACAATAATCTTGATTTATGTCCTCAGTGTTTTGGCCTATCATTTGCATTTGCGCAACACCTGATCCAAAACAGTTTTTATGTATATATTAAATAATAAATTTATGTAAAATACACATCACCAATTTTTTTTAATAAACTTTTTATTTCATTTTGTCGTTATTTAGTAATTTGTGATCATTTTGGTCAGCTAGCCTTGCTGTTTTGCACTATTAGAGGTATAGGTTATTGCAGCACGTGTCAGAACAAAATTCAAAACAATCGAGCTACAGGTTTTATGTTTGTGTTAAGTAATAAATTTATGTAAAATATACATCACTTTTTTTTTTTAAATAAACCTTTTATTCCATTCTGTTATTTGGTCATTTGTGATCATTTTGGTCAACTGTTAGACTAACTACTAGACTACTATTAGAGGTATTCCAAAATTTGTGCAACATATGACAGAACAAAATCCAAAACAACCGAACTACAAATTTTACACTTATGTATGTTAAACAATAAATTTATGTAAAATAAACATTAGTAGGTTTTTTTTAATAAGCTTTGTAGTTCATTCTGGTGTTATATGAAACATCCGCACTACAGATTTTACATTTATGTTAATAATAAATTTATGTAAAATACACATGACCTTTTTTTTTCTAATAAACTTTTTATTTCATTCTGTTATTTGGTCATTTGTGATTATTTTGGTCAGCTTATCCTCGCTGTCTTGGTCAATTAGAGGCATTCCTGCTTTGTGCAACATCTGATAGAGTAAAATTCGAAACGCCAAAGCTATAAGTTTTATGTACATGTTAATAAATAAATTTATCTAAAAGATACATCAAATTTTCCAATAAACCCTTTATTTCATTCTATTTTTATTTTTGTTTCTTTATTTTGACTATATACATTTATTTTTTTTTAAGTAATTCTCCTCCATAAAAAATGGCTTAACAACTACCAACAGGTCGATTTGCAGCAACATTTGGAAATTGAACAAAAATAACCATGTGGCCTATGTTGAACTGAGATTTTATTTATTTATTATTTATTATAAATAAATGCACTATTATATAGTAAGTAAAATTAAAATGTAATTACTTGGGCTTAATATCCAACTACTTGTAGTTTTATGGACGAGGGGCCAAACCACTTTACAATACCTTCTCTAAATAAATAATGCTGTGCTGGGTTTTTGAAACCTGTACCTCTCGTGTGGTGAATACCAGTCATTCACCTTGACCACTCAGCCGCTACTATTTAAGTTATTTTTATATTCAATGATCAAAAACCCAAAACAATGTAAAAAAATGATTTGAACTGAATAGATAAAATATTTTTATTTACATTTTTATATATTATTTACAAATGGAATTTCTTAATTTTTTAAAAATTAAATGTTTTCTCTATGTCAGTCTTTTATTCAATTTAATTATGGACATAAATTACAATAAGGCAGTTTGTGTACATTTTTTCTTTTCAATTTGCCACGTACTACGTGTGCGGTGTCATTGGCTTGTACCACCAACTGTGTTGAGTGATTTTTAATTTCTCAGCGTCTGAGAACTTCAGGACGGCTGTTATCGCGTTCAACATGTGACTTTTGCTGTTGGAATCGGACGAAAGTAGAAAGTTGAAAACGACATTTTTCAAATATTCAAGATTTGCACCTTCTCTCGATTGGCACTGTTCAAACCTTCAATACAATACCTTCATTTAATTAAAAAAATAAAGAAATTAAATGTAAATATTCACCTTTCAAGTTGCTCATGCAGGAGCGACGATAAATGATTTTTATGAGAATCAATCTGAGCGACTTCCCTTCTCAATTCTCTCAACTCTGATTCAAGGATATGTTTGTCCTTCCTTAGCCTTGAAAGTTCGACGTCTCGCCTTGCCAATTCTTCGCTGTAGTGTAAAACAATGCCTTCCCCTTCTGTCGAAGACTGTTCCATTAACAAAAAACATAAATGCATTAACGACTTATAATTTTTCAGTTAAATCCCTTTACCTTTTCGTTTGACGCCCTCTTTGGAATCAAATTGTTTAAAGCTTCCTTCAAATCAATAAGATCCTGTTCTTTTTCACTGATAATGCCGAGCGCTCTTTCCCTCTGCTTAGCTAACTGGGTTTCTAAAGATTGTACTTTCCCTCTCCATTCAGTTTCGATGTTTTGCAGTTTGGTTTGATTATTTGCTTTCTCTTTCAATAGAATCTAAAATGAAGGTTTAAGCTATTTTATTATTTTGCAAGTACTGCGATGATACAACGTTTGTTTTTAAAAGAATTGCCAATTACAGTCGTTAAAATTACATAAATTAAACATAATAATTGTAAAACACGCTTAATAATTAAAGGCGGAAGATGTTTAAAAATGGATAATGTTTTCTCATTCTTTATGTGTGTGTGGGGGGGAGGGGGAGGGGGAGAGGGAGAGAGAGAGAGAGAGAGAGAGAGAGAGAGAGAGGGAGGGAGGGAGAGGGAGATTGGAATTTGAAGGTCTAAGTTATGATTACTTAAAAAAGGGAGGATAAATGTTAATCAAGTTAAGTCATTATATAACTAAATTAAATTTTGTATTAAGTGGTAAGATGAAAGTTGTAATATAAACAAAAGCAATAAGTATTGCATTTTGAAACCTTGTCAGAATTTGTAAATGTAGAATAAATTGACAAATTTTTGGTAGAATGTGATTTTGTTTTAAACTATTAATATTATTTTTGCATTAATCTAGCAAATGTTTTAAAGTTCATACACAGATTTTCTTTTTTTAGTTGTACACGCATGCTATTCTCTTTTTATTGTATAGCTTAACTTTAAAATATTTTATTTCAATAGGGGGACAAGAAAGTAATGTCTTTTTTTTTACATTACACTCAAACAGATAAATTTTTAACAAGTTTTTAATTAATGTAATCAGCCTCATTATCAATGATCTTTTGCTATCTGGTGTGCTAATTTTTTATGCCAGATCGATAAAAATCAATTGGTTTTTTTAGCTAATTATCTAGAGATGGCATTTTGGACATCATCCAAATTTTCAATTTTTTTGCCGCTTAGATAATGTTGTACAGATTGGAATAAATTGAAATCAGATGGCGTAGTATCGGGCAAGTATGCTGGGTGAGGCAATACCTCCTACCCAATTCATTAATTTTTTCTTGCATTATATTGTTGCAGAGTAAAAACTTTTCTGTTGACAATCACCGGGCACTTTTTAATTGACAATTGATTTACTCGATCTAATTGTTCACAGTAAAGGTCTGCATTCACAGTTTGTCCAGGTTTGAGCGCTTCAAAATGAACGACCCAGCTAATACTCCACCAACTGAACAAAATCACCTTTTTAGGGTTTAAACCTGGCTTAGCTGTATTTCGTGGCGAATTGGTTTGGCTTTCGTTTTCCTTTCTGCCTTTCTTCCTCCTCTTCTAATCAACACTGCGACTGCGACCAGAAAAATAATATCCTCATCACTACTATTCATTATGAAAAAATTATTGTCATGTGGGGACTCCTGAAAATGCAAAACCAACACTAAACCGCAGCGCTAGTCAGATGGACGGGAAAATTCGACCAATGCAGCCTAGAGAGGTTCCTACATAGTGTGCAGACCTTCACAATTCCGACCTGCGCTGTTTCACCCCACCGACCTAGTGTGCGCCCAGCTTAAGAGTGTTTGACAGTTCCTCAAATGTCTGACATGGATTTGCTTCCACATTTGCCCTTAAAATATCATTGTATAAAGTTGTTGGTCCTGATCGATACGAGTCGAAAAAATTACCGGATTTGAAATTACCATCTTTGGCATTTACGCATATCAACTGCACTTGCATAAACATCACAAATGTTTTTTTGTAGGAAATGTTGCATTTGCAAAACTCAAAACTCACAAGGCCGAATATGTACCTCTTCCTGCTAACCATTTCACCATAAATTGCAAAAAAAATTAAGATTTAATTACTTACGAGTACAGAAGTCATTCTTAATGTCTTTGAAATACACAATGAGCTGATTAATGACAAATGAATATTGGCATGGGTAGAAACGACATTACTTTCCCATCCCCCTATTATAATCGTATTTTTATTTAATTATATTACAATGAAAATAAGACTTTCTAAGTGCATCGATTTTATTTTTTATCAAACAATTGTAAGCCGAACTGAAGCAGCCAAGATTTGATTATTTTGTGCAACTTGGCCTTTTTACGGTGCCTTACCTGATTGAGGTCTTCCTTTTCCTTTCTGTGCATTTTCTCCATTTCGTCAAGCTGTTGGTGGAGATTGGATATTCTCTCTTTGAGTTTTTTAACTTGCATCTTCAATTCTTGATCTTTGTTAGTTGTGTCAACTCTAAAACTAAAAGGAAAAAAAATTGAAAAACAATGTTCATCACATCTTTTAAAAAAATACTACCTTGGATAATTAAGCTTTTGATTAAAAGAAAACTGTTTTTTATATAAATCAAAATCATATTTCAATTGGTCGTACTCCTCTCGGCATGCTTTGTGCATTTCTTCGAGAAATGCGTTATCGCCGACAATTTCTTTCACAATAGAACTGACATCGACTTGTTTCCCACTGGTGTTTTTTATATCGCAAATGAGTTGTTTAAATTTTTGGATACTGTTTGACAAATCTTCATCGATCGTTTCATCTGATTTTTCCTCGCTTTTTTCAACTTCGAGTTGTGAAATTCTCTCTTTCAGCTTGTCAATTGCTTTCTGATCACTCTGTCTCAGCCTGTCATAAAGCCCGACTGTCTGGGACAACTCGGCAAGCCTGGCTTCAAGATTGGCCACCCTCTCTTCCTGAATCGCTGCCTGCTGCCTCGATTTATTTTCAGCCTCTTTGAGTTTTTCTTGTTCCTGAATTTAAAAAAAAAAATTTAAAATTAAAAAAATTAATTATCCACAATAACGAACACAGTTTAAAAATATGAGAAGTTACCGCGATTGAATTTTCAATGTGTTGCCTTTTCAGCATTTCCAATTCTTGCTGAAGTTTCTCCGCGACACTACCGTTGTTGACTTGGTGGTTTTTCAGTTTGTCTTTAAGAGCTTCTAGTTGGGCTTTTGCTTCCGCTGCTTCCTTTTTGCTCTGTTGAATAGTCTTTTGGGCACTGGCAAGCTCAGAATTTAAATTCTCTATTGTGCCTTCTATCGTCTCTTTCTTAGCCCTTTCTTCGTAAACAACTTTTTGTAGCTCCCTATACATTGAAAGGAGAAAAATAATAAACCATTCTTGTGATTTAGTAAAAACAAAAAAATTATTGTTAAAAGGTAATAGGTTTTTATTGTGAGAATTGTTATTTTTTTATGGTGTGTGTGTGTGAATCTTGTGATTTAGTAAAAACAAAAAATTATTGTTAAAAGGTAATAGGTTTTTATTGTGAGAATTGTTATTTTTTTATGGTGTGTGGGAATCTATGGTATTTTACAATTTACCTGACCCACCTATTCTTGTGGTTTTTGGTTCTTCACCATCTATCAGGTACGTCACAATAATAATGTTTTACAACACTTCTAGAAGATGTTATTCGGCTGTTTTCAATTATTTCAATCTGGCCATCTTTTCTGTTTTGATATTTTATTTTGCACTTCAACTTCTCATCATCTTCAACAGTGGACTTGTTCTTTCAGCCCTTCTACAAAATTCACACAAACCCTGAAGATATTGAGAAGCAAAAACAACCAACATTCTTCAACTCGCAGATCTCAAAATTTCTATTAGTGTGTAAGAACAAACCCACCGTTGAAGATGGTAAAAAGCCAAAACACTGATAGGCCAAAAACAGAGAAGATAAGAAGACAAAAATGATCAAAAAGGAAAAACTACAAACATTTATTCCCTATTATTGGAAAATTGTTTTAACAATTGAAATTTGAAAAATAGTTAAAATGATTACAAAATTTTATTAAATGAATCTTTCTTTCATATTAAAATTTTTAAAGTGCCTTTTTATTTAATGAAATAACCAGAATTTGTATAATTTGATCATTTTCTATCATTTTGGTCTTCCTACAATTGTTATTTTGGTCTGTATGTGTCTATCACTGAAGGTTATGAAATGCTCAAACACATCTGACATAACACAATGATCGGAAATGACCAAAAGTTTATCACCCTGAAGAACGATCACAATAAATAGACTGTTCCAAAATTGGCCTATTGCCTGCAAACAAATATTACCTTATCATCACACCATGGTCATTGTGTTCTTTCTCTCTTTGATGCCTTTCAAGAATAAGTTTAGCTTTGAAGTTTTCCATTTCCCCAAGGTGTGCCCTCGTCTCGTGCTCCAGCCTGCCTTCCAATTCCTTTATTTTATTTTCCGACTAAAAAAATTAAAACAGTATTGAAAAACAAGTGAAACATTTATTTATTGCCCCCCCCCCATATATATAATCTGAAAAGATACACCCATCAACTTTAAACATTTTCCAAACGAGACTAATGTTAAAAACAAAAATAAAAAAGTTGAATCCCAGGGAATCTGTAAGAGATGGAGCTTTCAGTTCTCTTCAAGGTCTGATAGGGGACAATCCCAAGGTTCTTGAGTGTGGGACAGAAGGGTGATTGTTAATTGTAAATGGAGGGACTGTAGGTAAGAAATGAAGGAGAGAACCATATACAAACACAGTCTTGGACATATACAACAGTCTTGGGACTTTTCTGGGTTCAAGTTAAGCCCATTTTCAGCGGCTCAGGAGCTATCTACTGAAGTAGAGTCCTACTGAATTCTAACAATTGCAGCTTGTAAGCCAGAAGTATGGAAGGAAAAGTAAATTTGGAAGTAATCTGCATAGAGTTAAGCCTATTATCAGTGGCCTGTAGTAGCTTGAGCTTTCAAGGACTCCAGAAATGATAGATTTAGCAGAGGATGGGGTAGTTATTTGAGAATGATTAATTGGGAACAGACCAAAAGAAAAGAGTGTAACCAGCGAAGGATACTGTGGGAAAAAGTTAAGTTGTGAATAATGGTTTAGATGGTTCAAAAGTGGTGATGAAAATAACATGAAAGCCAGAAACATTTGAAGGTGAAGGATTGGAGGCCTATTCATTAATCGGACTAAGACTCGTGTCAAAAGTAAGGACTTATAGAATCTTTGGGAGTGACAACAAGTAATTTCATTATACTTCAAAGAATTCAATGGGAATGGACTGAAGCTAGGAAATTGGGTGCCATATGAATTAAAGCTGAGACATAGAAAGGAGATTTTTTCACTTGCTGTTCCAAAGGCCAAATCAGAAGGTTTTTTTTTCAACTAATTGTAACTGATGATGAAAAGTGGATTCATTATAACAATCTAAAGCGTAAAAAAATCTTGGGGTAAGCCAGGCAGTGCATCAGCTGAATATTCATGTATCAAAGCTGTTTATTTGGGGGATCAGCTTGTTGTAGGACATTATGAGCTGAACCAACAATTGAAATGTTTAAGCCGAGCATTGAAGGAAAAATGGTCAAAATTTAAACAGAGATTCGATAATGCTCAATCCATGTTGCAGTACCAGTCAAAAACTACTTGGAAACACTCAAAATGTTATATCCTACCCCATCCACCATATTATTTTACGATTACCAATTATTTCAATCAATGACTCATGGCTGTCTGAGCAGCACTTCCGTTCTTAATGAGAATTGGGTTGATTCTTTCATTGCTTTAACCGGATAAGGAATAAATTCAAAAAGAAAACTAAATTAATTTTTACCAAGCTTGGGCATCAGGCATAAGCCAAAGAAATGAGAAATGAGAAAATAGAAAAAGATAACTTAGTTTGTCATAAAAAATAAAAATTAATGCTCACGACTAGTCAGGGTAGGGGAGGTAAGATTTGTGCATCAACAAGAAAAATAGTTAAACAAAGAAAATAGAAATTAACATAGAATAAGGTCATAAGGAAAGGTATAATTTACAAATTAGTACAGCCTTATGATAATCTGGGATCGTGATTAGCCGTGTTTTAAATCAATACAAGCCACTTGGTTACAGCTTCTTATGAACACTCTGGATCAAGGTATGGACTTGAAGAAAGAAGCCAATTCAGTTTTTACTGCCAAGCTTTCGACCTATTTTAAGGTCATCATCAGAGCAAAACAATCTTAAATACGTCTACAGATTAACTCTTTTACAAGAGCCCTTGACAATATACGCACTAATTGGTTGTAACACTGTAACTGCAAAAAAAACTTAAATATGTGATCTGTAGACATATTTAAGATTGTTTTGCACCGTTGATGACTTTAAAATAGGTCGAAAGCTTGGCAGTAACAACTGAATTTGCTTCTTTCTTCAAGTCCATACCTTGATCCACAGTGTTTGGGGGTGAAAGTGGTCGATACTTCCAACATTGAAAACCGCTTCTAACAACCAGTCATTCTTTCAACGTAGAATTCCTATGCTGCCAGAAAGATGGGAAAATTAAGTAGCTAGGTTACTTGAACCACCTTTAGATAAATAGATAGAGATACCTTCATTTACAACATTAGTACTCTGTACAAAAGAAGGAAAAACAAAAGTTTAATACCGTCTGTCAGAGGATGTTGCAACAAAACAAAATAAAATAATAATAATAATAACAAAAATTAATAAATAAATAATTTAAAAAAATATATAATATAAATAATATTATATACACTATTATATGTATAATTTTATTTATCGTTATTATATATAGGATATTTGATTTAAAAGCAAAGAGAAATTTTCAAGTGTAGGGCAAAAAGTATCCCATATTTTTTAAACAAGTTGTGTCAAGATAAAATAACCCAACCAAGACAATTTCATATTAATAATGGCCGTTAATCCGGAGAGCTTCACACCAAAAGGCGTAAGAGATTTGAAAACAAATGAAAAATGTATCTTCAAAGTATAAATAGAAAGGAGATCACAAGACATTTCTAAAGAAATTAAACAATCTGCAGTGGCTGCTGGAAAGCGAAAAATCTTGCAAATAAAAAAACCGTTGCCCCTTTTCAATTACGTCATACTGTTGGTAGCCCCAAACCTGGCAACCGTAACATAATATGGCGTGACACATTGCGTTAAACACACTAAATTTAACTTTCAGTGGTATGCTTTCATTTTCACAACAGGTGATGCCATGATTTAACACCAGGCATGCAGAGGACATTTTTGTGGCCAAATGCCTGGCCCAAGCAAGAGTAGGAGTTAGAGATACCTAGATATTTGTAGTGATTCACAACCTGTATCTTCTCTCCTTTGAATCAACAATGCTCTGACAACCTCAACTTACCCCCTCTTCTAAATACCATAATTTTTGATTTCCTCAAATTCTGCATACATTAATATTTTAATTAACTGGCTGCCAATTTGACAGCCGTAGTCCAGAATAGACGGGATATCATCGATAATGGACTTAACAGACAACCGTGTCGTACCACCTATAGACTTAGTAGATTTAGAATAAAGCACATTTTTGTTGGTATGGATGAGGGCAGGTTGTCAGCATAAATTATAGATATAAAAATTATAGATATAATACGCCCACAAATAACTTGCAGACCAACACTCAACTAATAAATAAATCACGACACCATTCAACTTTATTAAATGTTACCTGAATCTTTTCCATTCGCAATAGTTTTTTATCCGCCTGAAATGCGGCTTCCATTCGCGATTTCTCTTCGGACAGCGTGGCCAATGAATTCATAAGCATTGACAGCTGATTCTTCAAATGTTCTGGCGACTCTTCACCTTCGGACTCTTCGATAAAGCTCGCCCCGCTCTCTACGCCGTCTTCAACCTCCGACTGCTCGACCGTCTTGCCCGTGCTACGTTTCGTAACACTCTTCAAGCTGTTTTCGAGCAAGTCCTTCTCCTTCAAGAGTCCCTTATGCGCCGCAACTAAATCTGAATTGGCAATTAAATACATCCAAATCAATTGAGTTAACGCTTAACAAAATAAATACAAGTAAAATAAAATACCTTTGAATCTGCTTTTATATCTTTCCAGTTCAGACTGCTGGGCTGTCACCAGCTCGAAAAGTTCTTTTTTATTTAATTTGTCCATTTCCCTATCCTTCTATTATATTTGGACATATGGAAACAATTATTGCTGTCACTTTCTAATTTAAAGTTGTCAAATTTGATATTTTGACTGTCAAAAACCTTAACAATAGATGCATTCCAGTGTATTTTTCTTGACTGGGCTTACTATTACAATTATAAATTTCAACATCTACTATAAACTAAAAAAAAAACCTTAAAACTCAACTTTATCAAACTTTAACAGTTTCAGGTTTCAAGGAACTAAGGGTTTGTTATACAGCAGTGCTACACTTCCGTGACATACTTTCCAACTATTAACAATGTCTACAATGCAAAATAAATTAATTATTTTGTACAAATAAATAAACTACAATATAAAAACAAATTTAATATTTAATTATGTAATTAATTACTAGCATTTTTTGTCAAACGTGCCAAAGAAAGAAATATGGCATTATCTTGATTATAAATTACCTTTATTTACTTGAGGCGTAGGCTAAATAGTCGAAAGAAATGTTTATTCTAATTAAATAATTAGATTATAATAATTTTTCTGCGTGTTTTATTGAAGTTGAGGGCTTTTTAAAAATAAACAATTTCCTTAGAATTTTTTTATCCGTTTGTTTTTTTGTCTGAGTCGGGTTGTTTTTGCGTTATTCACTGAATAATTAAAGCACGACGTGTTTTTTGTGTGTTATCGTCTCGATTTATTAGAATGTAACTTTGTGGGTTGATAATTAATTAATTATTTTTGTCAGGTCTACCAAGTTGAACGGCACTCTGCAGATAACCTTACCTTGGCCTAATCAGCTGCTCGTTCAGTCGATCGGGTTCTGATTTTCTGGTCCTTCTTTTTAATTAATTGGGGCAATTTTGAATCAAACTTGTAAAATGCTCTCAAGGCTGGCCCTCAGAAAAGGTGAGGAAAGTTTTTTTAAAGGATTAGCTGGTGTTTTTCATCGCCCGGATCATTTCCACTTTTTTCACCCACTTGGTCATCGGCCAATTTTCTAAAATTGAACTTTTTTCCCCAGCTTTCCAGTTGAAAAGCGCAGCTCCGTCGTTGGTGGGCGGTTGCACCAGGTTCAGCTCGAGCCAAGGATCGGAGGACGTGCTTTGCAAAGAAGGATCGGAACGGGACGTAGTCAATTTTCCAAGACTGACCAGGCAGGAGTTTCCATCCAAAGTCAGACATGGATTTATTCCGGAAGAATGGTTCGAGCTTTTCTACAAGAAAACAGGCGTCACTGGTATGACAAAGCTTAAAGTTCATAAGTATTTTCTGCTCAACAATGATGGGTGTTGGTCTGCGAGTCGGTGAACTCATGCTGCACCAGTAATCCAATAATCCCTCGAGTGAAAACAGACCCAATATGTGACTATGCCGGTTCAGCATATTTTCTACTTATTACTTTCTCTAATATGGTATTAGGCTTTTCCAATCCAAGGTCAGATTTTACTTTTTGTAAAGGATAGCTCTTTACTCAGGTTTTTTGTGCATCCTGCCCAGAGAGGATTTTGAAGCTATAGGCACTAGTTCAATTCAGCCTCTAAAGCGGGTGCGCGCACTGAACCGATGCGGCAGTGATCCAACATCTTTCATTGCCTCACACGACTTACTGACCATGACCTGTGTGGGAAGCATAGAATTGTAATAAGGGCATCCCCTAACTGCCCAACATGCGACAGTCCATCAAATCCCAGTCGTATAATACTAGAATGTCCAGATTATGAAAACTAGAGAAAACTATTGGATGATCTGTGTATATATTATGCAGGGTGGGCGATCAAGATCTGAGGGGTTAAGTGCCTGGGTAGACTCGTACCCCATCCCTCAAAGGCCCAGGACTTGGTCGGCTCACGTGTCCTGCATAAACCTCTTGGACCTGATCACAAACCCCAAGATTTTGCACCATTTAATCTCGGGGAATGATTTGGTGATATACTCTCCTTCAAAGATTTCAAATCTAGACCTAGCATACCTATCACATGCTGTATAGTGACCCCAGAATATTCGGCCCAATAAGTCTTGAAACGCTGATGGCAAGTAACATGACGGTTTTAAAATTAATTTACATATTTCTTAAATCAGTTCACCTTTCTTTTTGAGGTAATATAGAAACAGCGGGCAGTACAATAAGGAGATCCTTTCTACTTCCTCCTCCCGCTCGGGTATAGAAAAAAAATTCCCATTAATTATTTTTTTTAATCGAAGGTTTTTGGTTGAGATGAAAAATTAGTATCACGAATGGGAATTTTTCATCTCAACCAAAAGCTAGATCCAAAGAATAATTAATTATAATAATTAATATGGTCGATTATGACCACTAAGCAAATATGCAATAATAAAAATTAAAAATCAATAATTAAAAAATAAATAAGTTCATTAAACGTACTAAAATAATAATAACAAATTTAAAAAAAATCATATGGCAATATTTCTAAAGGGAAAAGGCCAAATAAGAAAGAAATATAAAAAATACGACTTTTAAAGGCGCAACCCTCTCTTGCCCACTGGATCAAAGCAATACGATGCATTCCATAGTACGTTTTTACATTAAACTGTTATGTTTGCTGATGAGGCGGTATTACTGGCAGATTCTCCTTTGGTATTAGAAAATAATGATGCAATATTTACAAACGTATTGCGACTTGAAACTTAAAGATGATACCGCTAAATAAAAAATTATGATATTTTAAAGCAATAAATGTAATTTACAATCAAACAAAAGACAGAAATTTAAAAACGAAATTTTAAAAATAGTTGAAAAATATAAATATTTGGGGGTCTCATTGACATGACAGTTAAATTTCACAATACATTTGATGGAAAAAATAAAACTAGCCAAATTAAGCTTTAATAGAAATCGGCATGTTACACAGTGAAAATTTTGGTGGCATAGGGAATATATAGATTTACAAAAATTTATATTAATTAATCCATATATTTTAATGGCTTAGTGGTCATAACTGACCAAATTAATTATGCTTTCTATCTTCTCATCTTTTATGCTTTTCTCCTGACTCTGACCAATGATGGTGCTATCTTTTTTTACAATATTTATTTATTTCAGTTTTATTGTCAATGGGCTGCCAATAATTTTATGGTTGTGATTTCTTTGATCTGACTACAAAATATAAACTTGATTTTTATTTTTTATTTTATTTTATGTACTTGATGTTAAACTTTTTGTTGTTATGTTACACATAATTAAACCAAGAAGAGGACAACTCTGGTAGCGGTTTAAACAGAATGTAAATAATAATCATAATTTATTATATGTGTGCATATAATATATATTCCTTTATTATATATTTATTCTCCTCTTCTTCCTTCCTGGTTGTTGGCTTTTTTTGAAGATCTTTTTTAAGATGTTTTTTAGTAACATTCAACCAATCAGCATATTATTTTATTGAAGCAAAATTGATTTCGGGAGCACCAGCCCCCCTCTCTTCAGTCTCGTTTCATTTTTCAAAACGCAATACAATGCGGTGGCTGGTGCTTCAATAAAATGATAAGTTGAATGGTTGAATGTTCCCGAAAAACACCTTAAAAAAGACCCTCAAAATAAGCCAACAACCAGGTTGGTGCTCCTGAAATTGATATTGCTTCAATAAAATGATATGTTAATTTATTATATGGGTAAATTTTGTTTTGTAAAACTAAAACATGTGTAGTTCTATTTGAATGATTAAAGGTGTATTGTTAAATTTCCCCCAGACGGTTTTAACCATGAGGAACAGCTTTCTTGTTTTGTAAGATATATTACCGAATTGTAAACTTTGTATATACGTTAAAGAATAAAGACATATAGTAGTAGTATTTTTTTAAATTTGGAAAAATGTGGTTTTTTTGGTTCTTAAAGAATTTTTTTTTTTTTTTTTTCTGAAGGGCCTTACGTGTTAGGCGTTGGTTTACCTATTTATCTGTTGAGCAAGGAAATTTGGGTGATAGAACACGACTTCGGTTATGTTTTTGCATTTTTTGGCCTTGTATATTACATCAACATGAAAGTTGGCTCAAAGATCAGCGGATGGCTCGACAAGCAAGTCGATGTATGTAATTGTTATGATAAAAATTGGTAGAGTATGATTCATTGATTCTGTAATACACAGGAAGCCGATGCCGAACTGAGAGATAGCCGTCTGAACCATCTGAAATGGTTGGAAGACGCCATCAAAGAGGAGGAGGAAGCACAATGGCGGGCAGAGGGCCAGTATCTCCTTTTAGACGCCAAACGGGAAAACGTCAAATTGCAACTTGAAGCAACTTACAGAGAAAGAGCTATGAAAGTTTATTCAGAGGTAATTTAAATTTGCTCTGTAATTTTTTATTTGAAAAAAAAAAAGATGGTTTTTGATTTAATTCTATTTGTGCACAGGTGAAAAAGCGTTTAGACTACCAATTGGAAAAACAGAGGGTCGATCAAGTAATTGCTCAGAAACATATGGTTCAATGGGTCGTTTCGAATGTCCTCAAATCGATTTCCGATGCCCAAGAAAAAGAGAACATTAAGAAATGCCTTTCTGATCTTCAAATGCTTTCGGCAAAAGCTTAAATTTTTAAATAGTAATTTTTAGTCAGTCTATTTAAATAATTTTCCTGAGTTCAAAAGATCCCCCATGCTGTTAAAATAGAAAAATTCACGAAAATTGTACACATATGCGTTATACAATTAAAGGAAATGTTTTTATTGGGCTTAAGTAGTATTTGTTAAATTGTATCAAACTTTGGTGATCAGACATGTTCAAAATAAAGATATAGTTCAATTTGTTCTACTTCAGTATCATTAACCATTAAGGATTTGTTTACTGTATTGTGCATATGACAAATTGTTAATTAATTTCAAATCTAACTTATCAATTTAGCATCCTCTCTTTCTCTTGCAATTAGATTATTGGCTCTGCCTTGTACGTAAGACGATCTAACTTGAAAAATATACGATTGTATATTCTACGCTATTAGTAGGGATGGTAAAACTATGTGGTCATATGATCAAAATTATGGATATATTAATTAATATCAGATAAATTTATTGATCAAAATTTTATTAAAATACCCAGGAATGTTCTTTTATATTTTTTACTTTCCTTATATTTTTTTGTATACTATAGAAATTTTTATAATATTTATTTACTATTTTTATTGACTGAATCAATACTTACTCAATTTTGTCAATAAAAATATTACAATAGAGATAGTCCATTCCATGATGGCACAAAAGAAGGATAATAAAAAATTGGTGGTTTGGCCAGATCATCCTGGTCTTTTGGGTCTAGTTGAACTGAAAGTAAAGTTTAAATCGATTAAAATCAAAGTAAATGTGACCACAACAAACATATTTTTAAAAAATCAAATGTTCATTCAGTCCATAACATGACCTTTTGCACCAGATCAGTATTGGACTAATATGCAATGTCCATTGACTACAGTTCTTTGTTAAGCATAAGGGTTTTTATCATTTCCCAAAACTTGGTAAATACAGTAATCCCTTAACATTCACGGGTGTTCGGTTCTAGAAAACTGCCGTGAACGTTACACCCGCGAATGTTGAATCTATTTTCCTATGCTATAAAAAGCATGTTACATGACACCAAAAATTCAGGACTAAAAAAAAGTTTATACAAAATAAATGTAATGGAAGACATAACAGTGTTTGAAAATGTTAATTGTTTTCGTTGTTTGTATTTTTTGATGTGCTAGGAAAGAAATAACTATTAATTATTCGATGTTTTGCCAAATAATTAATTTCTTTCAAAATTTCCACATAAGGTTTGAATCGGACAACCCTTTTAAACTTAAAACTTCGATTTAAAGATGGGTCGAAATCCATTGCTTTTTTAATAAGTTATTGCCTCAAGGTTAAAATTTCTCTGAGCTGTTTTGAAGAAAAGCTTTTGCCTGCATAAAAAACGTAACATGTCCAAAAATTTTATTCTTTTACCAAGGGTCGACGGGTTTTTTTTTGGAAGAGGAGGCAGTTTGCGGCCAAAATCTGTAAGAGAATAAAACAAAATAAGAAAAAAAGGATTATTTTCGATGTGAAATTAAAATTGTTCACCCAACTATTTGTTTTACGCGAATAAAGAAATTGGACTTCTGCAAATGCCATAGCTTTCCTCATTTTTTCATATGTGTAGTGAAAACCACAAATGTCAAAACCGCGAGTATTAAAGGTTTACTGTTCTCCCGTTTATAACCTTCAGTCCTTGGCATTTCCCTCCCCCAGGATCCTTCCAACAGAAGACGTTTCACTGTTCCTTCTTCTTACTGGAATTATCTGTACAGGATTTGTTCTGCTACTCTGAGCCTATTAGTATGTCTCCAGAGTCAGCAGTACTATAATTCTAGTTATAATGGCCCTAGGTTCAGTAGTTCTACTGTTAGTTTCTGCTATGGTCTTTTGCTTAATGTTTTTTCATTGTGCTATACATTCCATTGAACTTATTTTTTAATTCATTGTGTGATGACGTTCTCTGGCAATTTGCTGTGCTGCAAAGGGTTCAGGGCCAAGAGTGACCTCATCGAACTTTTAAGAAGAAGAAGAAGAAAAATAACTTTACTCTGGGACTGGTATCCCCTAAGAATAATTTACATGAAATAAATAAAAGAAGTTCCTTCTAAGAAGTTAAGAATAAAAAAAAAAAAAATAGAAATCTTGGCACAATGTATACCAATAAGGCAGGACAGAAGAAAAAATTACGAGAATATTAAACAAAAATAACAAATGTTTACGTGAGGTCTCTGCTTGGAGGGAGAGGAGATGATTATACAAGTGGGATTTAAAGGAGGCAGCGTGACGAATAGAAAGGGGAAGGGAGTATCAGAGTTTAGGGGCTCGGATCAGAAAGGATCTTTCGAAGGTTTGGGTTGTATGTTGATGAGCGGGTCTTACGAGTGAGATGTGAGGAGTTGAATCGGAGGGATTGGATGATGTAAGGAGGACGACGAGTGTGGATGAACTGGAAAAGAAAGCAACCTAGGAAATACTGTACACGGAAGGAGGGGAATAGCCAGGAAATTTGGGAATACAACCCCGACACCCGGGATCCCCGTGGGGTGCCGTACACAAATCTTATGCAACAATTCATAATACGCTTCAATTGCACGTTCACCCCTCCGAGAGACCACCGTATGCCAAACAGCTATAATCGAAGAAGGGAAGTATAAGGGAAGATACAAGGAGTTTGCGGCTGGAGAAAGGTAAGAGAAGCCAGGACCGACGAAACAGGCTGAGGGAGGCAATGGAATGGCGGGAAATTTGGGAAATGTGAGAATGCCAGGAAAGGTTTTGGTCAAAGACTACTCCTAGGTTTTTAACCGAAGAGCAGAAGGGGATGGGATGGTTATTTAGCATGAGAGGTGGGATGCTGGGGAGGGAATTGAGGAGTTGCCTGGACCCGATAATTATGGCGGTGGATTTGGACGGATAGATAGATAGATAGATAGATGTAATATTTCAGGGTATGGTATACTGCGCCCTTTAAGAGCTATTGTATCCCCTGTGCTCTGCCTAAAGCACATTGGTGAGTCCTATTTCATCAAGAAACTTGATTAATAGGCCCGGTTTCAGTGGTTGTAGTTCTTCTATGGTCACATTGTACATCCCAAAACACTTCCTCCTGCGGGCTAGTGTAGCTCCGCAGTTTGTTAGTAAGTGTGTTGGTGTCTCTTCTGCTTCTTTGCAGAATCTACATGTGCCATCTTGGATTATTCCAATTTTCTTTAGATGTCCATTTAATCTACAGTGTCCTGTCAGGAATCCTGTTAGGATTCGCAGTCTGTTCCTGCTTCCTTTGACACATTCTGTGATTTCTTTCTTACCAAAGTTGGTTAGAAAATTCTTGGATTGTCTGTGTCCAATAAGTGAGTTCCAAAGTTCGCTCATTCTCTTTTTATCCTTCTGTCTGAGGTATTCGTTGATAGTGTGTGTTCCTATTCCACAGAAGGGTTCAGGTCCTATTAGCGGTGTGGCAGCCCCTTTTCTTGCATTTGGACGGATTGAGGACTGGGGAATTTTTATGGGCCCATTCGTTGATGGAGTTTAGGTCTTTTTGGATCTTGAGAGTGGCCGAGTGAAGATCGGAAGGGTGGAAGGATATGTATATTTGGGAGTCATCGACATATAGGTGATAGTTACCTGGATGGAGTCGGGCAGATCATTGATATAAATGGAAAAAAGGATAGGAGAGATGCTAGAGCCTTGGGGCACCCGACTTTCCTTGGCCAATCGACCACTTCGTTGCCCCTTTGCCTTGTGTGCCTGGGTACCCAAACAAGAGTAATTTTATTCCTGATACAATCTCAAATGCCTGCCTTACTACTGATGTGATAATTCTAGTAGTTGCCCTTAGTGCCACATGGCTGTCTGAGTAGATGCATATTCTTTTGTTAATAATACCTAGCCTTTAATGTTGGCACAATGGACAAAGTCACATCTCACTTGAAAGCCAGGGATTTATAGGAATTTTATGCCCTAGTTTTCCATAGGTACAAGCTCCTTGATTCCGTAGTTAGCATTAACTGGGATTCCTTTCCCCCAAATTGTTCTAACAGGTATTTTAATTTTTTTTGGGGTGCCAAATCTGTATTTGGGGGTTATGGCATCAACAGGCATCCACAGGACCTCATCTGTCTGAAGCTTTAATTGATACTTGTTACGCAAATAGCTTATTGGATCCTATCTCTGCATTGTGTCTACAGCCTTTCCTTGGATGAAGATGAAAATGTATACTGGTGGTAGATTCAGGAGGACTTCCGGCCGTCAGTGGGGGCTGTTCTCATCATTCTAGTAATGCTCAGGCAATCTACTCTATGAGCAGTACAAAGAATCCCAACCGCCCCTTGCTGTAAAGCCAAGTTTCCACTGTGCGAAAATCACTCACAAAACTTTTCTTGCATTTGATATCTAGGTGGGACTGCGAAACTTTGGCACGAGGATGTTTCGGGGTCAGCCGACAGGCAGTCAGTTTTTTAGTGGACGTCAATGTGTTTCGCGTTGTTTGTCTCTCTGTGTAAACGCACTTGTCTCGTGAGAATGAACCAGGAGGACTACATTTGACTTATTCGAATGTATCAGAGAGAGATTTTTATGTAAAGATATACCTCATCATATCAAGAACATGAGAGAGGAGTGTGGAAGGAAATGACCATGAAAATTCACCAAAGACAAAAGACAAAAAGTATTGCCATGATAAGAAACACTGTAGGTGTAGTTATAAATGGCATTCTTGTCTCGCGCAAACTGATGGCTCACTTTGTTTCGCCTCATGGAAATGGTTAACCCGAGCGTGTTTTGCAAGTGATTCTTGCGTTTAGTTGCATGTGTGATTTTTTCGCGCAATGGAAACCCAGCTTAACATCTTTTTCACTTTTTTTTAGGGGGGGGGAGGGTGATGCAGAAGACAATTCTTTCCTCTCCTGAGACTTAAACAGGTTATTGTGTAAACTTAACCTTATCATTTTCTCATTTTGAAAGGTCTTGATTTTAGTGTTTTCATTTCTAAGTACATCAATAACTAGATGTCTGTCAGTTTAGCATAGGTAGTTGTCAATGTCATGTCTTTTTAAATTTTCTGAAGTTTTCTCGATGCATTTATTTAGATGCTTTAAATTCTATGTTATCCTGTTCAATTTTACGTAACCAAGACCTTATGTTTTACATCGTCAGTTGTTAGGAAGCACCTATAGATATAGAAAGTATCATGTAATACATACTTCTAGTGTTCTCGGCCTTTTGAATTAATAACCTTTGTTTAAAAAAAAAAATATAAAAAAAAAAGATACAATACACTGTTTATAATGTTTTAGTTAGACTTATACTCTCTGGTCATAGACATTGATATTGTGTTCAATTCCAAAATTGGTTAAAGGAATAAATAAATCAAACTGTTAGAAAGATTACATTATATTTGTTAATTAAATACTTAATATCAGATTTGGATTCACAGAAGAAATATACACTACATAATATATGTACAATAAATATAATAAGAATTAGGACAAATGGGATCAGGTTACAGGTGTTCAACCCCTGATGGATCTTCGATGAAATTGACCCAAAAATAACAAGGTTGTATCTCCTCTTTTAGAATGAGGTGTTACACGATGGCACAGGACAAATCAACTACCTTATGATTAAGAACGTTGTGTTTAACTATCTAGAAGTGTCAGCTAATCCACCATGGCCAACACCGAAAGTCACTGGACCGAGTTTTGTTACGCTAGGAAGCATGACGGATGCTGAAGGGTAACTGCCACCGTTTAGTGAAGGAACCGGCACGTTGAAATCAAACTGCGGCGTATAAAAATTGAATGGAGAAGAAGACAGTTGGTACAGGCTTGAAAAATCTCCTGACGAAGGTGTAGGCAAGCCGACATTGGGTGCGCTGAACAGATTTGAAGTCAAGCTGTATGGATATGTTTGAACTGGCGTGTTGTATCCATTAGCCCCTTGGTATGGATTTACAGGTACAAAACTGTTTGATGGGGCTTTGTAAGTAACTCTGTCTGTATACTTTGTTTGGTCCAGCTGACTTCTGTTCTCGGTGTATCCGTTGGAAAAGTAGCCTCCTGGAGATTTCTGCGGTGACCCCACGGCTATAGGGGCCCTTTTTTCCTTAAGAGTTAGGAACTTTGAATTCGGCGCCTCTCCCGCGGTGCAGACCACTAAGCCCCATATAACCACCTGAAAACAACATCAAAATTTCAAAATGGTAATATTAAAACTATTGCAAAAATATTTTTACAAAAACCACCAAATTCATCTTCTTGAAATAATGCTAACTCGTGAATAAATATGGGATGATAACAATTATTTGACCATTTCCGAACATATTGGTGATGGCGGGATGACTGGAAAACCGACCAATTTAGTAGTTTCCGTTCTTCTTGGTCTGCCTATGTCTGGAAAAGCAACCCAGTTTGATCGTGTCCGATCTTTTTGTTCTGCCTATGCCTGGGAAATTTTCATTTCTTAGAAACTTGGTCTGCCTACGTCTGAAAAGCAAACCAGTTTCGTCATTCCTAGAATCTTGGTCTGCCTATGCCCGAAATGACCAATCATCTTGCTATGCCTAGAAAAACAAACCAATCTGGACATTTTCGATAATCTTGGTCTGTGCATGGCAGGAAAAGCAAACCAATTTGAACATTTTCAATTCTCTTGGTATACTTATTAAAGGTAAAGCAGACTGTTAGATCATTTCCGATCATCATGGTCTGTCTATGCTTGGAAAAGCAGATAGAGGTGGTCAGAAAACTGTTTCGCAATAAACTATCTAAACCATTTTCATGGTATAATGGCTGAATTCGAATACATGCGGAATGATAGCAGACCGTTTTGTCGTTTCCGAACATCTTGGGCGTTTCCAACTATCCTTGTACTTGACTGGACGAGCAGACCAATTTGGTTGTTTCCGATCTTCTTGAACTGTCCGGAAAAGCAGACAAAGACGACCAGAAACGACCAAACCACATAGTACAAAAATGTTAGAAAAAGTAAAGAAACTTCAATTTTATCCAAAAAGATTTTTTCATGCAGTCGAAGAATGTTTAAATTTGATCGGTTTTACTTTCGACTCACCCAGCGTTTCATGTTAGCAAGTCTGTGCAGAACTGTAGAGTCCGAAGGGAAAGTTTCGTTTATATAGAATCTGTCGGAAGAGGGGTCGGAACCGGATCACTTTCGTTTCCAAGTTGGAAGCATCCTCCTTCAAGAATCTTTAGGACGAGCTTCGTAAGAAACGAAAATGGAACGAATTGACAAACAGGAGGGCACTATATAATTGATAAGCACTAGCAAATTACATAAATGATGCCAGATTGTGCTAGGACAGTCTCTGCTTACTTTTTGTGCGATTATTTTTTTTGTATCAAAATCAACGAACAGTTAAGCAAACATTAATAAAAAAAATATTTGGTCGGTACAGGTCACTTTGGTTTACATATAATCGCTGTTTTGGTTGGTCAGACACGTTTTAGCATTTCTCCATTTTCAGTGCTGGGTCTGTGTCTGTGCCACGGCCCGCTTATATCCCTGACCGTATTTTAACCATACGTATACTGAAGTTGGCGAAATGTCGAAAAGCGCCTGACAGACCTAAAAAGAAACGACCAAACTGCCGATTCATCACCTCGCACATGCAACAAAGAATTCTCACAAAATAATTTTATTTCTGATTTTTGTTACAACACTAGGTATTTAGATTCAAATGATCATGATCATCAAATTAGCTATAAATTATTAAATTAATGACACTGCAGTGTATGTCACGATATCAAATAAGCATCTTTTCCCTTTAAAAAATAATCTTTTATTTACTACGTAAGTGTTGTATAATAAATAAATAATTTTAAATAATCAACCTTGATAAATTTAAAATTAAGCTTTTTAGAAATTGATGGAAATTGTCCATCGTGACGGGCTAACTTTCTCAAAAGCAACTCACCGTGCATTCACCAACCAATTTTGAATCCGTTATGATCGCTATTTTTGCGATAGTTCTTGGCTGATTGATTCCACTCTAAAATAATATATAATTATAGTTGGAACAAAAGTCTGAGATTTATTTTTGCACTTCTCGTACGACCGTGCTTGCAAAGCTAGGTTGTAGCGAAAAGAACTGGATCAACTGAAAATCAATAACATAAATCATTAAGTTACCAAACAGGAAAACAGCAATCGAAAATCCAACTTTTAAGACTCGTGAACAGTTTGACAATGTCAGTAATCCATTACATTTCGTGGTCCGATTGACCAAATAACTTCTTTCAATTAAATAATCTTTATGTAAGGTATTGGTCGAAATGAAAAAGTGTCGCGACCGGGATTCGAACCCACGACCTCCGGCTAAATACGCCGCTGCTCTACATGAGCTATCGTGACTTCGATCCGAGTGGATCTGAGATGGGGAGTTGGTGTCCGTGTGGATCGAAGCTCAAGTGGTAGAGCAGCGGCGTATTTAGCCTAAGGTCGTGGGTTCGAATCCCGCTCATGACACTAGCTTTTTTATTTCAATCAATCCCTTACATAAAAATTAATTAATTGTCTTTAATACTACAAGGATACTTGTGGCTAGATGAAATATAAAAAAATTCTTCTGTTCCGCACAAGAAAGCTTTTCGTCAGGAACAAAACCGGAAGAAGCGCCTTCTTTTACGAAAGGATTAACAGGTTCGGGTCAGATAGCCACAGGACAGTTTGAAAATCACCTAAGGAGGAAGGAGGAAAAAACTTAGGAGTGGACGTGTTTCGGGAACGTGTATCTTATCGAATTGGGAAATTAATCCCAGTCGTGGGTGTCTTGAAAGCGAACGGATAAACTGCGGGATCCAAGTTGTTCCACAGGTCAAAGATCACACAGTCAGGACAAAGGAATGGTTAAATGATAATACACTAGGGTCAATTTTGTGTTATATTTTTTTTCCTTCCGACAATACCCTTGTTAAAGCGGTTTTATTTGCAGATTACACATCCATTCATTGATTCTTAGTAACAAGAACAAGAAATTCACAATAATATTCATAAAGAAATTTACACAATTCATTATAATATTTAATATACACCAACTTATACATTATAATATTTTTATGTGTATTTAAATAAGATAAAATAGGCAAAATATAGTAATGACATTAGCATATCGAAGTCAATCAAAGCGATTAATGAAACGAACATCTGGATGTACCAATTCTTATGATAACCCGAAGTTGGTGGCCACCTTTTGCCCAAAAGAGCTCATTTGATTCCAATATGAGGAAGTGGAAAATTGCTCAACAGTTTGGGAGCTGTTGAACCGTCACTGGGTAACTTACTTGGTACCTATAGCTTCTCTCTTTTGTCCCTTTTATTCTCCATTAACGCGAGAAGCCCGGATCAACATCTCAGTGGCAGAAGACAAATTGGACATTTGAACAAATTATTTACTGCAAGAGAAAATCACATCAGATCTTTCAATCAATCCAAAAAGTTTTTTGATTATTACAGAAGGGCAGCAACAACCACGATCCCTTGTAGGTCTACCGCCGAACCTAAATTATGTTAGTCACTCTGAGGCCCGGCGACTTTGATGGAATTTTGAAGTTATTTACTCTCCAGTTGTTTGCTTAACGTCAGGCGGTAAGTTTGGAACTATCCAGCTTATCTTGAAACAGTACGTGCCGTTCTGGCCGCCAACCTGATTTGGCTAACCGTTACCCATTCAAAACGTACTCGACAGACCTAAAAAAGTCGAAATCTAACGTTTCCCCCTCGTCAGCTTGGCTCGAACTAAATACAATGCTTACTAGGCCAAATTTGAATCTGAACACTAAAGAAAAATCGTGGCACCGGAATAATTAGTGGAACGAAATTTGGGTTCAGGAGAGAGCCCATATTCCAAGCAGTTTCAGATAAAAGAAAGCTTGAACAACTCAGTATTTATTTGAAGATTTTTCGTTTTATCAGGATTAGATAATTTTAAAATTTACAACTACTATATCATGGTTATGCTGAACCATCTTCTAGGGTCGGTTAGCAGCAGAATTCTTGTACCGGAACCCATGCTTTGATGCTGCCAATAATAGGTAAAAGGTTTGCCCAAGTTAAGTTGGAAGTGTGTTCGAACGACTCCCCTGACTTTCTGCGTCCTGACCGGATAAAATACCTTTTATAAATAAATTCTTTAATTCATATTTCAGGGAAAGTCCGATAAACTTTCGGCCGTTATGCCCCGGGACGTAGGACGTCCCATGTGAACCGGTTGAGCCTTCGACCATTTGAGCCGGATATCAAAACTCACTTTCTTTGGCAATATCCTACTGGAAGACCATATTGGAAGATGCCAGTCCAGGCTACATCCGTGTTTAAATTTAGCCCGTCGGACCACTTCTTAGAAACACCAAGAACAATTGTTCTCCTGTTATGTAGGATTCATAAGTGGGGGTAGGCACGATGCATCCAAAAACAAGTACATATATAGTTCATTAGCACCAATATCTTTCAGAAAAACCATAAAAATAAATACAATGGTCAGGAGGACTGTCTAGAACAATAAACAAATTCTTCTTCGTGTATTAACTACGTAAGTAAGCATACCTGAGATCTTAATGGTGGTTCATCAACACGGATATCTCTTAGAAAAATTTAAAAAAACAAATAAAATAGACAGAAAGTAAGAATGACAATACAGAACAATGAACTAATATTTACTCGTGTTATATGGGTATTAAGAACGTTTGCAGCATGGACGATGCCTACAGAAAAAGAAGGATACTCGAGACCATAAAACTAGTTCATCAGCATTGTTATCTCTTAGAAAAACCATAATAATAAACCACCAGGGCACTCTCAACACGACACGCAAGAATGGCACAATTACACAAAAACAAACACTTTGAGTCCTGAAGATGATCTCAATAAAGATCAAAACGTTGGCACGATAAAAAATAGGTTTTTCTGAAACCTACATCACACCAGACCGCATCTCACGATCTCTGAATAATCATAATAATAAATAAAATAGTCGGTAAGAATTTGTCTCGAACAATGAACAAATTTTTCTTCGTACTATATGGAGGTGTTAGTAGGTACGATGCTTACAGAAAAAAACGAGCATTTCTGTGACCATAATAGTTCGTTGTTACTGTTACCAGCAGAGACAGCTCTTAGAAGAAACCATAAAAATAATGAAAATAGTCAGAAAGGCAATGAACAAGTTTTTTCCCCGAGTTATATACTGTTTTATGTATGATGTCTATAGAAATGGAGATATTCCAGACCTTAACACTAATTCATCAGCATTGACCGTTCTTAGAAAAAAACATAAAAACAATGAAAATAGTCAGAAAGGGTTTGTATAGAGCAATGAACAAGTTTTTTTCCCCGAGTTATATACCGTTTTATGTATGTCAGGACATGTATGATGTCTGCAGAAAAAGGAGGATATTCGAGACGTTAACACTAGTTCATTAGCGTTGTTATCTCTTAGAAAAACCATAATAATAAATAAAATAGTCAGTAAGAATTTTCCTAGAACAATGAACAAATTTTTCTTCGTACTATATGGAGGTGTTAGTAGGTTTCGAGACATGTACGATGCTTACAGGAAAAACGAGCATTTCTGTAACCATAATAGTTCGTCAGCACTGACAGCTCTTAGAAAAAACCATACAAAAATGAAAATAGTCAAAAAGGGTGTGTACCAATGAACACGTTTTTTTCCGAGTTATATATAGTTTTATGTATGTCAGGACATGTATGATGTCTGCAGAAAAAGGAGAATATTCGAGACCTTAACAATAGTTCATTAGCGTTGTTATCTCTTAGAAAAACCATAATAATAAATAAAACAGTCACTAAGAATCAGTCTAGAGCAATGAACAAATTTTTCTTCGTGTTATAATGGGTGTGGATTATGTGGGTGAGTAGGCATGTACGATTTCTACGGAAAAAGAAGGATACGCGAGACCTTAACATTCATGAGAACTGATATCTTTTAGAAAAATCATAAAAACGAATAAAATAGTAATAATTTGTCTAGAACAATGAACTAATTTCCCGCCACAACATCTGGAGGTGTGTGTGTGTGTGTGTGTGTGTGTGTGTGTGTGTGTGTGTGTGTGTGTGTGTGTGTGTCTAATTGATTCACAACAGTATAAAATTATTAAAAAATACAACGAATTTCAACGATCGAGTCTTTCAAGTAACTTGTTTCCTCCTGTAATAAAATAGGAATTGGTGTTTGCGTATGTTTAGATGTATTGTAAATCTGTTAAAATAATTGTTCGGACAGTCGAACTGTAGTTCTGGTAAATTTAACCCGTGTTAAGCTGCCGTACTTCCGGATTGTTTTTATATTGGCCGCCCAGAATCGCCGTGTTCTCATCCTGGACATATTATGACTACGAGCCGATAATCATTAAAATTACAATGATAAGAACAGAGAGAAAGCACCCGCAAGTACACGCGGCTCTTTCACCGAAGGTCACCGACTACTCCATTACGTCTGGGTTCATCGTACTGGAACAAGCTCCACTTTCGTTTTCAAAAATATGCGACGCCTGACCTATACGGTATGCTAACTGTCGGTCAAAACTATCGCAACCGACTTTGCCTATTTCAATCGATAATTCATTCATTTATTACACATTTTGAGATAAACTAAACTTCTTAACGAGGTTTGGGCGAACTTTGATACATTCACATCGCAATTTTTGCGTGAACATTTTTAAAAATTCTCGGAAGAAGATGGCGGACACGGAAGGTCGGTTAACGACCAAAATGAAAAAGAAAGTAGAGGGCTTGATTGAAGATTGTTAGAAGAAGGGTGAGTATACATGCCCGTTCGGTAGCAGAGTTCAAAGTAAGTCCAGAAGTACTGAAATGATCACAGCATTCTTTATCAGGGTCAAATATCAAACAATGCCAAAGATGTCAAGCTCTGATTGTCTACCTAGCAAATTTCGGTCTTGAGCGATTAATAGAAGCTAAGCATTTCGTCATACCACCAGCATGTTTCTGCAACATTCTTGGTTGAGGACATTCAATCGAGTTCCTTTGTAAGTTAGTGAAAGGTGTGTCGATTGTTTTTCACTGTCGCCGTCTTTGACATATCTGGTTGGTTATTATGACAGTGGTCCATTTTCTGTTCAACTTGTATAATGTTTTGAATGGAGTGAATGATGTGCGTGAGTTGTTGTTGATTTGCGGTATATGGGTCTCGTCGGGTTGAATCCGTTGTTTTTCATGTGTGTCCAATTTTCTCCATTTCGTCATGAAGCTTCTCTGTATTGTCGAGGGTTTTGTTGGGTTATTTGG